GCGTGGTAGCCCATGCGGGCTGCGGAACAGAGAGCACAGGCAGCAGGCGCCAGCACTTCTCCTGGGTGTGCAGATGCCAACCGCTCCATGTCGTCTCCCTTCCAGCACTCTGGGTCCAGCACAGAGGCCTCCGGGACCTCTTACCTTGTAAAGGCCCTGCTTCCTCAACTCACATTCTCTGAGGGTCTGCAGGTCAGGGTTTCAACATAGGAATTGGGGAGAGCACCATTCAGCCCATGACATCTTGTAAAACCCTCACAGACCTTGAGCTGCAGGCACCCACAGGCGGGACCGCCCTGGGCTGGGGTCTTTATCTGCCTTGATGCTGGCGAGCCCACGCACCTGTCATCAGCCTCCTGTCCTCGGTTCTTCCCACAGCGATGCCTTTGCCAAGTTGCTGGAGTCTGGGGACCTGAGCATGAGCTCAATCAAAGTTGAGGGCATTCGTATGTCCTTCCAGAACCTTCTGGCAAAGATCTGTTTTCATCACCATTTTTCCGGTAAGAGATTTGACATGGCTGCTAAACGGTGCGGCCTCCCTCTGCTCCCCGTGGGGCAGCTTCACCCTGCGGCCTGGCTTCACCTGTCCTCTGTTGCAGTTGTGGAGCGAGTGGACTCCTGTGCCTCCATGTACAGCCGCTCCATCCAGGGCCACCACGTCTGCCTCCTGGTGAAGAAGGTGAGCCCCTCACGGAGGCGGCCAGACCCTTCCCCTGCCGCCCCGCCACCCGGAAGATGCCCCCACCCCTCTACACCGAGTCCCCTGGCCCTGGCTCTCTGTGGGCTTCCTCGGTGTCGGCGTAGTGCTGAGCTCAGGCTTTGTCCCCGTGAGGGTTTGGAGCCTGCCTGTGTGAGGAGCAGTGGCCTTTCGTCATCTCTGGCTTGGGCGCCAGGGCACCAGAGGCCCCAGTGACCCAGGTGGGAAGTGTCCCGTCCTGCGCTTTGTGGAAGGGACTGCCTGTAATCAGCATATTTCTTCTGTACACGTTCCTGACCGTTCCTGGGGAACCCTCTGAGACTAGAGGCTTTTCACTGAAGGGTTTTATCCACAAGTTCAGTTTCCTTCATCAGTTCTAAGATCTGCAGTCTTTCTTGTTTCCTCTGGTGAGATATGGCAGTTAGCAGTTCTCAGGGACTTAGCCTCACCTAAGCCAGCGATTGGCAGGGTGGGGCTGTGTGGTGTGAGGCCACTTCCTGTGTCCGTCGTGATGACCCCCTTCATTCCTGATGCTGGCAGTTGATGTCTTCTCTCATTTTTCTTGGTTACCCTGGCTAGAAGTTCATTAATTTTATTGATCTTTTCAATGATCAACTTGAAAACCAACTTTTAAAAACTTTTGTTTTTTAAACAATAAATAAATTGCGTTGAGTTTTGCTCGTTACCTCTTTCCTTCTGCTTTGGGTTTATCTTCCTCTTCTGTGAGTTTCTTGAGAAAGCCTATACCTTTCTAAGAGACTTCTTTTCTAATCAACTGTTTAATGCTATAAATTTTCCTCTAAGCGCGCTGCTTTAGCTGAACTCCACAAATTGTTGTTTTGTTTTCATGTCTATACAGTTAAAAATATATTCTAATTTCTGTCGAGACGACTGTCTGTCCCATAGGTCACCTGGAAGGAAGTTAGTTTCCCAGCACTGGGGGAGTCCCCTGTTGCTCGGCGACTGTGGGTTTCTAGTCTGATTCCGTGGGGGGCCCATGACGCGCGCCTCACCTCCGTCCTTTGGTGCCGGGAGGCTGTGTGCTGGCCCAGCACGTGGTCACCCCGTGGGTGCCTGGAAGCAGTGTGTGCACCGCTGAGTCACCGAGGTCCCACCAGGGGATGGCAGTTCCAGTTGCTCCGGATCCTTGTGGATTTTCTCTGTCCTGATGGTGGAGGGTCGGCGGCTGTCAGGATGTCTTTGCCCCTCAGCCCTGTCGGGTTGCTCTGTGTGTGTCGGGGCTGTTGGGCTTGTGCACCCGTTTGCAGGGTGTGATGAATCTCTTCACCCCATGTCACTTTGTTCCCAAGTCTGTGAGTCCCACACCAATATAGCCACTCCTGCTTGCTCTAGTTGGGTGGTTCCGTGGTACATCTTTCACATGGAACCTGTCCTTATTGTTCGATGTGGAAGAATTCCTTATAGACTTGGCCATGGGTCTCGGTTCGTGCCCATGCTGCCAGTCTTTTAATGGGTCTGTGCGAACCACTTGCATCAGAAGTACCGTGGTGTCCACGGTCCATCTCCCGTGTCACCTGTCTTAGGTCAGCTCCCTCCACCTCCGTCCCGCTCCTGCTACTTTGGCTCACGTGTACCTGGCTCAGAACCCAACTTTCACTGGTCTGTTGGGTGTGCGTGTTTGGGATGGTGCTGTATCCGCTTAGCTGTCCAGTCTCCCCGGACTTCCCCATGTGGGGTGCCTCCTCCCTCCCGCCACACCACAGCTGCCATGTGTAGGCCATCTCTGCCCCTCTCCACCCGTCCACGTTCTCTTCCAGCTTGTCTCCCGTCTGTCTGAGGAAGCGCCTTGCACAGCTCTGCACGAGGGCTGCGGGCCGTGAGCCAGCTCCTGCATCTGGTCGCTCACGCCGCTGCTCCCCGGGGCTGTCTGTGCTGCGTGGGGTTGGCTCCCAGGGTTTTCTCTCGGTGCTGTTGGATGGGCCGTTCCGTTCTCTCGGCATCCCTGCTTCTGATCAGGAACCTGCACTCCATCTGCACCGATACTCTCTCAAGGAATGTACCATTTTTTTCTGGTTCTTTCAAGGTTTTTCAACATTGTTCTTTGTCTTCGGTGTTAGCAGCTTCTGATGCATCTGGGTATTGACGTGCTTGGGTTTATCTGCAGCCTGTGCAGCTGCTCAAATGTGTGCATTTGTGTTTTTTGCAAACTTTGAGGTGTTTTCGACTGTTGCTGAAATACTTTTTCAGCACTGTGGTCCGTGTGTTCCTTCTGGATGCCGCTGACAGGCGTCTCGGGCCTTCTGTTACCGCGCCTCCCGTCTGCCAGCCTCAGCCTGTCTGGCCCCCTTCTGTGTCGTGCCCGCCCTGCTGCTGGGCCCGTCAGTGAGTCTCTTTATTCTGGTTGTTGGGATTCTCAGGCCTAAGCCTTCCCCTTGGTGGCTCTGCCTGCTGCTCATTTCTTGCTGAGATGTTCTGCTTTTCCATTTGCTCCGAGAGTTTTGATTGCTTATCAGACGGAGGGTCTCAAAAGAGCTGCCTTAAAGCCTGGTCAGAAGGCCTCGCAGCCCCTCATCTTGGGGTGGGTGTCTGTCAGTTGCATTTTCCATTGTGCTGTTGCCCTGGCCTGCGGGTGATACCCTGGCTGTTCGGACCCTGCTGAGAGCCTGGGCCTGTCCAGCCCCATGGACAACGTGGGTACACAGGCTGCGGCCACGGGATCTGGTTCCAGTGTCCTTGTCCTGCACTGCAGAGCGGCTCTGGGTGAGGCCACACCGGGTTGGGTGTTCTCGGCCTCCTGGGTGAGGGCTGCAGGTCCTCAGTGCCCAGTTGCCCCAGGGGTCCGTGAGCACACTTGTGGTCCCCATCTCTAGGTCCCCTAGCCAGAAGGTGTGGCTTTGGTCACCCCGTCCCACCAAGCTCTGCCACCGCACCGGTTCCAGGCAGGGTCCCCAGTCCCCACAGGCCTCCGCGCCTTGGCTGCTCCTGCCTGGAGAGTGAGGCCCCTGGGGGAGACCCAGAACCCTTCCCTTCCATCATCAAAGTGCCATCGCATAGAAAAGTGTTTGAGATTGGAGGCAGATATGCGCAGTCCCCAGGCAGCGTCTCAGAATGACCAGCGTTGTTTCCCTTCCTCAGGGCGACAAGTCCGTGTCGGTCGACGGCAAGTGCAGTGACTGCACGCTTCTGAACAACTTGTTGGAGGAGATGAAAGGGACGCTGGCCCAGTGCTGAGTGCGTGGCCCCGCAGCAGAGGGGGCACTGCGGCCCGGTGGAGTCCAGGCTCAGGTCCCCCCGGCCATGGGGACTGTCTGCCTGTCGGTAATTCAGGTCCACTGCCGGCCACCCTTCTGGTGTCGAGGTCACGTTCCGCACCGATTCATCCCATTGTCTCGTTCACTCTGCCCCTTCCCACACTCCTTAGCGAGAAGCCCGTTCCAGTCCCCAGACCAGCAGAGGCTGCCTGAGGCGTGAGCGTGAGCGCTCTGGGCCGGGACCTAGTGGGCTCAGGGTCGGGTGTTTGGGGTGGACTGGGGCGGGGTGGCGCATCCTGCTTCTGTAAAGTCGCCTGAGCCCCCACCGGTCCCCCAATACCCTGCCTGGCAACACCTGCTCACCCCTCATGGCCACAGGCCCAGGATACCTGGCAGGAGAGGGTCATGCAGGCTGCGGTCTGTCGTGCTGTCTGCGTCCCCACCCCATGCCGAGTGCAGGAGGACAATGGCAGGGTGCCAGGCAGGGAGCCTCAGCCGAGGGTGGGGGTCCAGCCGGCCCCTGGCGGGTCAGGGACTGGATCTTACTGGGGTCTGTCTCTTTCTGTGCGGTGGGATGGGTGTCAGGCGGCGTTGTTTGGGGAGAGTTGGGGGTGGGGTGCTGTGAGTCTGGGTCCCTCCTGCCACTAAACACTCCCCAGGTGTGTGCTCGCAGCAGCCGGGCAGGCCCAGTCCTGACTGCGGCCCCCACAGGGAAGCACGTGCTGGTGCAGTGGGGCTCCTGAAGTGCACCTCACGGGCAGGGCAGGGCAGGGGGACCCCCGCAGCCCCGTGAGAACTTTCTCAGAGATGATGGTCCTCGGTGACATTTTAACTTTTCCTTTTGATGAAAACTGTCACTTTAGCATGTAGAGTATCTATTACGGAATCCTGTGCAGTGGTTCTAGAATCTCGAAACTGTATGATGTGTTCTGAGAATTTATTTGCCATTGACATTCCCCAGGTAAAGGAAAGACAGACACACCACGCTGCTGTGCTGATGTTGTGTCAAGGTGATCCAATAAACTTGCAAAACATATCTGTCCACCTGTGGGTTCTCTGCCCCGCCAGGGGTCCCCGCCCAGCGGGGCTGTGGGGCATCCCCCTGCATGCCCCTTGGGAGGGATGTGGTCCCCACACACTGCCAAGGCACTGGGTCAGGGGGTACAGTGGGGAGCTCCATGGGGTCACCCCCCTCTTCCCACTGGTAGTGGGGTATGCAGGGTGAGCGGTAGGAGCAGCTGCCGGAAGGAAGGTCCTGCTTGTGCTTCAGGTCATGTTTCCGAGGGCTTCACTGATGGGGTGTGGGCAGGTCAGACCAGGTCAGCCGATGGGAAGCCCAGGTGGGAGGAGGCCAGGGAGCCAAGCCCAGTCCGGAGTCCTGATGGGGACAGGCCTCGGGCATCCCCCACCCCGTTGGCACTGTGACCCACCACCCCAGTGGAGTCACAGCCGCTTCCAGTCCTGTGCAGGCTGGGAAGGCGAGTGGCCAGGCATCAGAGATTGGCGGCATGAGGAGGGACGCCGGCCCCCCACCACACCAGGTCCTCTTTACCAACCAGCCCCTCTCCTAACTCGCCCCCTGGGTGGCATTCGTCCAAGGCGCCCTGTGTGACCACCAGTCTACCCCAGCGCGGCTTCCAGAGCCTCCCCACGGGATGTGGTGGTTACACCATGTGTGTCCCTGACAGAAACGTGCTCCCATGGAAACTGCGCCTGTGTTGAGTCAGTGACACCTCAGCAGAATGGGGGGTCCTGTCTCCCCTCAGGAGCCATCCTGTGCCCCTGCTTGGACACAGGGCAAGAGGGAGCTGTGGGGAGGAAGTCATCTGGGCAGCCAAGGACCACCAGCCTTGGGACAGCACTGCAGGCACACGGTTGGGCTCCTGGCAGCACTTGGCCCTGCATCAGGCCGTGCTGGGCCCATCTCCCCATAATCCATGTGGAGCGTCAGCAGGAAGGAGCCGCATGAGAGGAACACTGGCTCCCGTGTGCCTCTGACTGAGGGACAGTCCGACACACGAACCCTGATGACACTGGCTCTCATCTTCACCAGCTGCAGTCTCCTGCGTCATCCGAAGCATATGCCCAGGTGCCCAGGTGTGGGCATCGGCCTGGGAACCCCAGTCCCCGCAGCCCCGCCCCTGCTCCAACAGCACTGACCTTGGTGAGAAACATCGGGGACATTTAATCATTTCGTCAAGTAGCTCTGGGGTCCCACCTGGCGTCGATAATTCATACAGAAACCCACCTTTCCCTCCTCCCGGCCCAGCCCAGGCCCCGGTGTTTGGTGGGGCGGGGGGATCCGAGGCGGCAGCAGGCCTGCTCCACAGGGTCAGGCTGGACCGCGCAGCGGAGTCCCGGCCCTGCGTCACGGTGGGGCAGGCCCGGCGGCCATCAGTGCTGTGTGAGGCACTCGGAAGCATTTTCCAGAGGCAGGTTGTCCAGGTGTGGGGGCTCCAGACATGCAAATCTGGGTGACACCAGGCTGCAGGGGACACAGGTGCCTTCTGTCCTCCTGCCTGTCCTCCCTGGTGTTTCTGCTGGGGCCACACCCAACACTCCCACAACTGGGTCTGCAAAAGTGGTGGGGGGCACCAGGGCCACTGCCACAAATTAGTCCTTGGGTTTTGACCCCTGGCTTAGGCCAACCCCTGCCCCAGAAGCCCCCCCAGGTCCCTGCAGCCTGTGGGTCACTCACAAGGCTGGAGTGGTTCTTGCATCCGGTGAGGAGGAGGAGGAACCGAAGTTTATTCGTGCGGTGGTCTCACAGTTGTGGCAGAGCGTCCGGCGTGTCCGGGTGCAGAGAGAGTCCTGCCCACCCCCGCTCACCTGAGGGATCCCATGCCAGCCCCCAAACCCCCAGAAGGCCTGCGCTTTAGAGAGGATGGGCTTACCTCATGCTGGTGTTCTCTCTAAAAACACAATGGGGCCCCATTTAGCCCCCGAGGCCCCTCCACTGGGCACATCCGTCACCACAGCCCTGCCACCTGCGTGGGGCAGGGGTAGGACCAGACACCACGGGGACCCTTTAACCATGATGTGCACCCCTTGTGCCAGCAGAGCTCAGAGACCATTGGAGGGAGGAAGGGGCTGGGGCTCTGAGCACAAGGCCAGGTGCTGTCTCCAGTGGTCACCTAGCACACGCTCACCTGGGGGGCACGTGTGACATTGCTCTGGTAAAACCCACGTTGGTTTTGGGGAGGGGGGACTTACTTGTGCCATTCATTTCTGCAACAGCAATGGGATTGAAATCAGGGGCCAAGTGATCTCTGTTGGGGACCCTTCCCTGAACCCAGCTGCCCCAACTCACATGTAAAGGAGGAGGCCCTGCACAGCTGTCTCCCACTGTGCAGACGACCTGGGGAGACAAGGACATGAGGCAGTGTGGTCCTGAACCGGGCCAGTGGAGGGCCTTCCGCTCCCCACCCCAGCCAGGTGATGAAGGGCCAGGGATGCAGGCAGAGGGGCACTGGGGGTGAGCCTGGGGCCCACAGACAGCAGGGGCCATCAGCACGGATACCCCCCCAGTCCTACTTGCAATTGTAGCCAAAGCAGACGACGTGCGAGTCTGTGCAGTCGGTGCAGGAGATGGTCTTGTACTGGAAGATGCCTGCAACACACCAGAGCAGCCGCAGGTTCCTCTCGGCCTCGGCCTCGGCCTCCGGGCCCACGCTGCCCGCCCCAGAGGCTCGCTCACCGCAGTGACGCTCACAGTTGATGCGGCCTGTTTGCAACAAAAGCACAGATGGCACCCTCCTGGCAGGCCCAGCCATTCTCCACTCCAGCCCGTCCTCCCGGGCCTGCCAAGGCTCAGTGCAGCCCGCAGCCTGGGATGGTAGCCTTACAGGACGGGCAGCGTCAGCACGTGGTGCCCGCGGGGCCCTACTGGAGGAGGTGGCATGGAGCAGTGGGGTTTATCCTTCAAAGCGCCGCGCTGGTGCCCACGGAATGGAGGGCCCTCTTCTCAGGGAGCCGCCCTTCCCCACTTCTGTCCCCTGCCAGCTGCTTTACTCACACCTGTCCAGCCTCAGCCATGCCTTGGCCGAGAACCCCCAGCCTCAACTGGGACTCTGAAGTACCCCGAGGCCCTGGACAGCACCACCCTCCCCGCTCCCGGCCCTTGTTGGCTCACTTTCTATGATGGCATTCTGGATGAGCTGCACCTGCTTCCGGAAGACGGCCCGCAACTCGTGGGGAAAATACCCTGATGGGGGGAGACGGGGGAAGTCAGGCCCCTGCCTTCGGCCGAGAGGGCGTCGTGGGGCGGGTGGGCCTCCGCCCCTTACCCGGGAAAAACATCTTCCTCTGGTACAGCTGATCCATCTCCCAGTACACGGCGCCTGCCACTCGGTCCAGCTTCTCCCGGGCTGGGGCGGGGCGGGGAGGCGGGTGAGCGGCCGAGGCCGGCGCCCGGCGGGGCGGGGGGCGTGCCCGGCGGGCCCGCACTCACTGATCTCGGCGGGGATGGCCAGGTGGAGCTCCTTCATGGTGTCCTGGCTCCAGTCGGTGAGCAGCAGGCCCGACGCGGTGATGTCGCCCACCCACCAGGACTTGCGGTCCACGTGATGGCGGTAGAAGGAGAACTTCTCCGAGAAGTTGCCGTTGCAGTGCAGGCAGCCGCGGGCCAGCGCCGCGGTCACGCTCAGCCACAGCAGCAGGGCCATGGCCCGCCTCCCGCCGCTCGCCAGCCGCTGCGCCTTGCGCCACGCCCTCCGCCGCGCACCAACCGCCGGCGCCTCCCAGGCCTGGGCCGCGCCCCCGCAACGGAACCTCTGGGCCGCCGGCTCCGCCCCCCGGGCTCCGCCCCTGGAGAAGCTCCACCCCGGCACTCCCCACGCATGCGCTCACGGCCTGGGCAAACCACGGCTGGATCCTCGAGGTCCCGCCCCGGAGCGGCGGAAGGAGCCACGGAACCAGCCAATGGCGTCACGGCCCTCCCTCGCTGCCAGGCAACGGGGGGCGCGGGCATGGCGTGCTCCCTCGTTGGTCTAGACTCTGTTGTCCGGGTTCGCTTCCGGGGAGGCCCCGAGCGGTGGCGGAAGTAGACCCGGCTAGGCGGGCGGGGACTGGACGGGCTCTACGCGTTTTTCCTCCGTGGCGGCGGCGGCGGCCAGGGACGTACCGGGAACCTGGCGGCCGCGGAACAGCATCAATCGCGGCCCGGCGGCCGCGAGGCGGAGGTGCGTCCTCGGAGGGGCGGGAGCGGGCGGCGGGGAGAGTCCGTGGTGACGCTGGCCCCGTGGGGCCCGCGCAGGCGATGTCACTGACGCCCGGGCCCCGCCTCTGGTTCGCACTGCGAGGCCTCAGCCTTCCGGGGCCCGGCCTTTTCTTAACAGGGCTTCTTGCTTCCCGGTCCCCAGGCACTGAACAGGGCCTGCGCACGGGGCGGTGGGGCGTCCGCGCTGCACGCCGGGGGCCTCCACGGCTCCTCGCCCCTGCCGGAGGGCTGGCATTCGTTTGAAATGACCACGTGTTTTATAAAATGTCACTGAAAAGGGAAGGAGAGGGATTGGAAAATACAGAAAGTCACAAAGCGGAAAACTCCCTGGTGACAAGCACCCCGTGGAGAACCGCCGTTCCCTTTGGGTTCAGAGCCCTCCGGTCTCCCGACGCAAGTGCATTCTTGCCCCCTCGCATCGTTGTTTCGGTTCCGTCGAGGCCTGACTGGCACACCATCAGCCGCCGTAGTCCAAGCCGCAGCGGTGGGGCACAGCTTCCGTCCGTGTCACAGCCTGCCCGCCTGCGCTGTCTGCCTTTGGACTTGGCGGCCAGCCGCTGCCTCGTTCCTGCCTGCAGCCCACGTGGAGTTCAGGGGTCTCATTAGCCCATTGGGCAGGCTCAGTGCAGCGTGATGCCCACGCTTTGGCCCCTGACCGATGGCCAGGACAGGACGCTGCAGACCCCGTGCCCCCCATGTGGGTAGCATATGGACTGGGTGGTTGTCCCCCTGTGTGTTCGGGCAGCCGGTTGGGGTCTGCTCTCAGAACGCACTGAGACAGTGTGCCTGATGGAGCCAGACGCCCGTACCCCAGGACACCCTGCTTCCCGTCCCTCCCCAAGCCACTGCCTCAGAGAGCACCTGTCCCCCAGCTGCCCCCATCTCCCAACAAGGGGCTTCTTTTCCTCTCATTCAGCCCTTCGAGCTGAGCTGTCCAGTGCCACAGCCACTGGCCACACGTGGCTCGTGGAGCCCTTGACACATGGCTGGTCCAGTTGGGATGCGCCCTAAGTGCCAAATACACACCGGGTCCCAGACACTCTGTATGTATTTTTTTTAAAGGCAAAGTATCTCCTTAATATGTTCCCTATCTGTTAGGTATTGAAATGAGATCTTGGTGTTTTGGGGTTAAATACACTTTAATGTGGTAATTTCACACATTCATTTTCATTTTTTTTTCTTTACTTTCAATGTGGCTGCTAGAAAGTTTGGAATGATGCACACAGTGCACATTATATTTCTGGTGCCTTCCATGGCATTTATTCTTTCCACAAATGTATGTAGCTCCTGATTTCAGAGGATTCGTAGTTTTGTTTCCTATTTGTGGATTTAGTTATTAATTGGGATAAGCTACTCCAAGGACTTGGCTAAATGCTTGGTGTGTCACAATTGGTGAAGAAGTGTCAACTGTAATTTTTTAATGCAGTTTTAGGCTCACAGCATAAATGCCTCCCTCCCCATATATGCACAGCCTCCTGCATTATCAGCACCCCACCAGAGTGACGTCGGTCATAAGAATGAGCTCTGTGGGCACATGGTGGCTGCCCAGAGCCCATAGTATGTTAGGGCTCATTCTTGGTGCTCTGTGTTCTGTGGGTTTGGGTAAAACATACAGACATGGACCCTACGTCCTACTCTACAGGGCCAGCAGAGTTCTCTCACTGCGCTGAAGGTGCCCCGTGCTCTGCCCACGCACCCCGCAGGAGCCCCCCGCTGCTGCTCGCCGTCTCCCGAGCTCTGCCTCTCCCGGTGTGTCCCAGGGTCAGAGTCACCAACTGTCCCTTCTCGGGCTGGCTTCCTTCATCTAGGAGCGTGCAGCTCCTCCATGTCTTCCCACGTGGCTTCAGGGTTTGGTTTTGATTCGGCCGCCCCTAAAGGAGAGAGCGTGTGGTCATCGTCTTTAAGCCTCTTAGGAAGCTGAGCTTGGTGTCCACCTTCCAGGCACCTCGAATAACTGACAAGCTGGATTCTAAGCTGCCTCCGTCTCTCTCTCTCCCTCTCTCCCTCTCGGCAAAAGCCAGGGTGGTTATTTCAGTCCCTCACAGGCGGGTTCGTGGAGGTGCTATTTCAGTTCATGAACTTTTAAGAGGGTTCGTATTCTGAACGAGTCGAAGGCGGTCTGTCTCACCTGTAAGGACATTCCAAAGACAGCAGCGTTTGGCGCGGTCGGCCATGAATCATCTTCCCGGGAGCTCCCGGCTCCAGCGCTTCGTCAAGTGGATGAGTAACAGAATCCCCAAAGCGGCTGCCTTGGAACTTGGGTTTTTACTCTGGGAAGTTTGAGACGTGCCCCAGCTGGTGAGCCCTGTTCCTGATTTCCTGGGATTTCAAGGTTCGTGTTGCTTCCGCAGAAAAGGCGAGTCCAACTTAAGAAACTGGATTCTGGAAAGAGATAGTCACTCCTACGGCTCCCAAGTCCCAAATAAGACATCAGGGCAGGCCCATTCTCCGTGGGGCCGTCCTGGGCACTGGTGGTGGATGGGGGCATCCCTGGTCCCCACCATGCCCGGAGCACCCCCACTCATGACAACCACAGATGTCCCCAGACATGGCCCAGTGTCCCCTGGGGCCGAGCACAGCTGGGAGCCTGAACGGACTGGCCTGAATGGATCCTGCCCTGCCCGAGGAGGCTGCTGTGGAGCGGAAGCTGGGACTGGGGGGCCTGGGGCGGCAGGGCAGGGTTCTGATCAGGTGTCTCCCCTTCCTGCCACGCAGGCCTCTGTTCAGGTACACATGCCATGGGCTGAGGCTCCGGCAGGGACATGGCTCGGGAGCAGGCAGCAGCCACGGGGATCGCTCAGGTCCCCTCCTCTCAGGCTTTGCCCACCAGTGCCCCTCGGTTTCCCCTGAGTGGGACTGAGGTGGAGGAGGAGGCAGCGGCTGTTGGCCCCTGAATCAGGCCAGGATGCGGCCAGCCTGCGGCGACCACCGCTCCCCTTGTGCTGAAGCTCGGGCTCCCGCCACACCTGCCCCTCCCCTCGTGGTGGTGGGGCCCAGGCCGGGTCACGGGGAGACCGGCTCCTGTGTCCGGGGGCTCTGCCCCTCCAAGACCCCGGGAGTCCTTCCTGCCTGTCCCCGCTTCCCCAGGTCCTTGGCTTGCGGACACACCGCCGCTCCTCTGTCTCTGTAGCCATGCGTGTCTGCATTCAAATTTCCCTCTTATAAGGGCAGCTGTCATTGGGTCAGGGCCACCTGCTGCTGGATGACCCGTCTTTCCATCTGTGGAGACCCAGTTTCCACACACCATCCCGTTCAAAGACTCTGGCAGTTCAGACTTGAGCGTGTCCCTTGGGGGCACACGATTCCACAGTAATGGCGGGTGGGGAGTGACTGTTGACAGGCACAGGATTTCTTTTGGGGTGATGAGAATGTTCTGGAATTAGCAGGGATGGTCGATTATGATTTTCCTAAAATCCGTGTGTTGTATACTGTAAAAGGGTTGGATTACAGTTTATGAGTTATATAGCTCAACTGAATTTTTAGAAAGGGTCATTGTGGGAGCCTGGGATACACGGAACCCCTTGGCAGTACCCAGCCTACAGTGGCCTCTGCAAACCTTACTTCCTGCCTTCCTACAGTTCAAATTGGAGAACTTCACCCCAGAAACAAAGATGCAAGGGCCACACAGAACAGCCCACCTCTGTGATGGGGGAGGCCAGAGGCACCTCTGGGTGCCTCCTGCAGGACACCTACTTGCTATATTGAAAAATGAACATTTAGATGGAGGAAGCCACCCCTGGGGTGCAGCCTTCCATAGCCAGACAGATCTGGGCTCTGAGCATCTTCCAGCCAAACCCCTGGGCCTGTCCCTCCAGTGTCCACCTCGCGCAGTGTCCCTGCGGGGGTGGCGCTGCCACGGCAGAGGCAGGATGCGGAGGCACCGGAAGGAAGTGGCATGGGCTGGGCATGCTGCACCTCGCTGGGAGGGTCACACGGCGGTTGCTTAGAGGAACTGTGTTCTGTTTTGTTTTCGGAAAAAAAAAAACGGGGGCGGGTGTGTATTGGGGCAGGGGAATTTTGTCATCTTACCTTTGTCACTCTTGAAGTTTCTGAGTGCCACACACATCTCGTTCGCAGGAGGAACTGGGCCAGCCAGCAGAGCCCTTACGCTCAGTTCCAAGAAGCCTGTCCTGACCTTTGCCCACGCTGCCCTTGAGGTGTCCTAAGAAGAGCCGAGAGAAGGAACCCCAGAGACGGTAACTGGGGTACGGCGGGCAGCAAGGGGCGGTCGTCCCCCAACCACCTGGCCTCCAACCGCGCTTCTGAAGGGAGAGGCACTTGCCGGAGGCCAGCCACCCTTCAGCCGTGGGACGTGTGTTTCTGACCAAAAGCTGTTTGCTTTTGCGGGAACCCTGCCCATCCAGGAAGTTTTTTGGAAAATCATTTCTTCCACTTAAAAAAAAAAAGATCAACCACTTTAGAGAAGAGACGGCCAGGTGGACAGGGCTTCACAAGCTCCCTCTGCTGCCCCGCGCGTCTTCCAGGACTGTCAGGCAGCGTCCGGGCGGCGGTGTGAGGGTTTGGGCCGCTTTCCCCCTGAGGCCCCAGGCAGGCCGCATGTCCCCAGGTAACATTGTGGGAGGTTAAACTCCCAAAACTGTCCCACAGAGGCCCCGACATAACCCATGGGGCGCTGGCGGGTTGCATTTTTCTTTGTGGTATGATTTCTGCTGGGGGCAGAAGGTTAGCGGCAGGGTCCAGAAGAAATGTGGAAGAAAAACGGTAAACACCAGTCCTGCCCGGCCAGCACCCCCCAGCTGGACCAGGGAGGTAGGCCCCCTTCATCTTCTCATTGCCAGAGGGGGCTGTGCAGGTTGAAGGAAGCCCAGGTTGAGAAAGTGTCTTCTGAGGTGCCAGCAGGTGGTGAGGTGGTGGCTTGCCTTTCCAGCCGGTGCCCAGGGCCCTTCTTCCCCACACCTGTGCCCAGAGTAGCCTGAGCTTGCTTTGTGGATGAACCACCTGGCAGGTGGGGCGGCAGGTCCCCCTGGTGTGTCGGGCACACACCCACGGCCTTGCGGGGTCCAGACTGCCCAACCCCAGGGCACGAGCCAGTCTTGGACACGGAGGGTCTGCACAGGTGGCTCTGTTCATCAGCGCTTCCTGGGGATCTGAGGCTGGGCCCTTGCTGGTCCTGCCACGGTGGGAGGGAGGTGGGCAGGCGGGACGGGCAGGGCTGCACCCCATTCTCAGCAGCCTTCCTTTCTCTCGTCCCTGGGCTCCTGGAGCCGTGCCTGCCCACCAGAGCTGAGAGGGTCAGCTGCCTTGGAGCTGGGAGCATGCACGCCAGCTCTGTGTGGGCCCTGAGGTGCCCGCAAGGGGCAGCCTCAACCCCAAGGCTCCTGGGGCTGGGGCCAGAGATGGAGGCCTGACTGACAGAGACACAGTATGCCTTAAACCCCAACCTGACTAGTCATCGCCTAGGCAGTACTGACCCGGGGTGAGTCTGCCCCTAGGGGGCCCCGGGGAACATCTGTGGTTGCCACAGTGGAGAGCTCCTGGCATCGAGTGGGTGGGGCTGGGGAAGCTGCTCAGCCCCCGCGGCGCCCAGGACGGCTGCCCAGGGAACGGCCCGTCCCTGATGTCAGCAGTGCCAAGGGGGGACCCGGTCTAGGCCTGGGTTTTTCCCCTGGTCAGGAGGGGGGTGCCTGTTCCCCCGAGGGTTTTTGCAAAGTGCCTAGCAGGGAGTCAGCCGGAGGCAGGAAGTGACAAGGGCCGCCAGGCCCCGGGGCGGCTGTGGGGAAGGAAGTGAAGGCCTGGTCTGTTGACAGGCACCCTAGTCTTTGCTGCAGGACACAGGCTGCCTCTAGCTGTCACCTGGAGCATGGCTCTGTCCCAGTGGGCAGGTGGGGTGCCTCGTGTCTGTGCGTCCACCCGTCGGCGGCCACGTCGGTCGATCCGCGCTGCTCGGAGCATGCACGTGCAGGTCTGGACGCGGGCGGCCACTCCCAGGAGGGAAGTGCTGGGTGAGATGGTAACTTTTCGTGACCGCCAGCCGGTGGCCGGGGGGCCGCCCCGCTCCCCGCTCCCCAGCCAGGCGCAGGGCTCTGCTCTCTCCCTCTTCCCGCCAGCACCATGACGTCAGTTTTGTTCACAGCTCTGCCTGCCCCACGCAGTTTCTGAGGTCTCTCTGGCCGCGCCTCAGGGCCCAGCTCAGCCCGGCTCCCTTCAGGCCAGAGCAGCCTTTTCACCTTCAAGTTCTCGTGCCTCAGGGTCTGCTCTGCTCGAGCGTGTGACCGGGGCCCCCAGTTGGCACTGCTGCTGGGCCAGGTGGCCCGCAGCAACGTCGGCGCCAGCGTTTTGCGTCCCGTGTCTGGTCTCTGGAATTAAAGGCTCCCTTCTGGAAGACAGGGCGCACGCGTGGTCCTCCCTGAACACAGTGAGGTTAGGATGCCAGCGCCCCCTGCAGCCCTGGCATCGGGAGGGACCCAGCTGGTCCCATCCTGGAGGTCGCCCTCCTCCCGGAGGTGGCAGGGCTGGCTTGAGCCCCACGGGGCTGTGGATGCGGCGCAGCTGTGGCTCAGCTCTTACTGAACGTCTGGGTGCTGGCTTGTCCTCCGGTCACTCTGGCCTGCAAGTGGCCCCCTGGGGCTGGGCAGGAGCCCCAGGCCTGGGCAGAACTAGTGATCTCCTGTGTTGAAAGGGTTGTGCACTCGTGGCCGTGCCCCAGGTCCTGGGGGCTGAGCGGGGTCCCTGTGGGAGGAGAGGTGGCCCAGGAAGCTGAGATCGAGGGGTGCGGGACCAAGAGCTGAGGATACGGGGCGTCTGGAAGCGGGGAAGGACAGGAGGCTCTCCCCTGGCGCCTCCGGAGTAAACCAGGCCGGCCCGCGCACGGAGCCAGCCCCACGGGCCCACACAGGCACGGGCTGCCTGAGGCCCCTGCACCCGTGGGGACCTGCTAGGTGGTGTAGGACACCCACCAGGCAGTGCCTGCTGATCCCAAGTCGAAGCAAACTAACTTAAGCAGGGGGTGGGGGGGTACTTAGTGTGACATCGTAAGTGGCTATCTATCATCCGCCGCAGCCCAGGGGCCGCTGCTTGCGCCCCCCTCTGGCACTGCTTCCTCTGCAGCTTCTGCCAGGAAGCTCTCAGCTGCCGTCCCTTGGCGATGGGGTCGGCGTGGCCACTGCACCCTGAGCACTAGGCCGCGTCCTCAGCCCTCTGACGTGCTCGTTACTGGACGAGGCTGGGGGACTGGCGCCATCATTCCCACGTGGGCGCGGACAGTGCCAGGCGAGCTCCCTGGGGCGCCTGGGTGGCCGGGTGAGAAGTGTGCCCCCAGATACAAGGCCCCCTTGGGAGGCGCAGTCTCTGCAGGTGTCCCCTGGGTGGTACGGCACTGTCAACGCCGGAGAGGGGGCCTGACCGCACAAGGAGGCAGGGACGCGGCAGGCAGGAAAAAGAGCAGCCGAGGGCGTCCCCTGCTCTGAGACTCTCGGACACTGCAGACAGCTCTGTCCCCTTGGTGAAACCAAACCGCACGTCCCGGGCGCCCCGGGCTTCCGGAACAGGACTCCAAGGCCAGGGGATGACCCCTCCTCTCTCTGTATTACAGATCTTGGGAGCCCGTGGACTCCCCGGTGTCTCTCTGGTGGCGCCACACAGAGGGTGGGGCTGAGATGGCCAACCCCTTCCTGAAGCAGGTCTTCAACAAGGACAAGACCTTCCGCCCCAAGCGCAAGTTCGAGCCGGGCACCCAGCGCTTCGAGCTGCACAAGAGGGCGCAGGCGTCGCTGAACGCGGGGCTAGACCTGAGGCTGGCCGTGCAGCTGCCGCCCGGCGAGGAGCTCAGCGACTGGGTGGCCGTGCACGTGGTGGACTTCTTCAACCGCGTCAACCTCATCTACGGCACCATCAGCGAGGGCTGCACGGCGCAGTCCTGCCCCGTCATGTCGGGCGGCCCCAAGTACGAGTACCGCTGGCAGGACGAGCACCGGTTCCGCAGGCCCACGGCGCTGCCAGCCCCACAGTACATGGACCTGCTCATGGACTGGATCGAGGCACAGATCAACAACGAGGAGGTCTTCCCCACCAGCGTTGGTGAGTCGGCCCGCAGCTCGAGGTGCGCGGTGTCATGGCTTGGAGGGCGTCCACCCAGCTGTGCAGCCCCCACCTCCAGTCCCAGTGCATCCCGACCCAGAGCGCCATCCCCTTAGCTGTCCGCCCTGCCCAGCCCCCACGCACCCACGTTCTGTGGATCCACCTGCTGGGGACATGTCCCAGAAATGGGGTCACACCGTGTGGCCGTGTGTGTCTGGCGCCTCACCGAGCACCGTGTGTTCAGGGTTGTCCATGTGGGGTGTGTGTCAGGGCCCCACTCCTGTCCATGACCGGGTGATGTTCTCTGTGTGAATGGACACGTTTTGCTCCAAGTTGAGGATCTTGAGATGGGAGAGCCCTAATGCTGTCACAAGGGTCCCCATAGAAGGGAGGCAGAGATTCAACACACGGGAGAAGAAAGACGGCCTGCTGAGCCAGGGCGCCAGGAGAGGCTGAGAGGTCTCCCTGTGGCCTCCAGAAGGGGCAGCCCTGCCCACACCCCACCTCACCCAGGGGGCCTGGGTGGGGGTTTCTGGCCCCCAGGACTTGGGAGGGACAGGCGAGTCATCTTCAGGCGCCAAGCGGGGATGGTCTGTTTCAGCAGCCCCAAGAGACCCTCGCCGACGCCATTCCTACTGTTGGCCGTGCGCCTCGGAGGACCTGCTGGGCCAGCTGGTGCTGGGCCCCTGGTACTGTTAGCTTGTGGGCCCTTCTTCGAGGACTGGCTGGTCTGCTGTCCTGGGTCCCAGTGCCCCGGGGTAGTGCGGGTAGGGTCGTGGGAATGGGTGGCCTCCGTCTGTCCTGGGAGACAAGGAGGCAGGGAGTCTTCGTGGGGTAGTGGGTGGGGCGGGAGAGGAACAGCACGTGCCCTGCGCCACCAATGGGGCTGCACGGTGGAGAAGGTCAGTCACGTGGCATGTGTGTGCCCCATCCGGAGACACCAGGCCGTGAAACAGTACTCGGTCGACAGTAAGAGGAGCAACTGCCAGACGGTGCACGTTCGCATTTAAACAATGCCATAGAAACCTACCTGAGATGGGGATGTATAAATATACTACGTGGAAAATACCAAACACCAAAAAATATGTTTGTGCAGGTTGTTCCCATCTATTAAGAAATGTAGGTGGAGCTAGAAACGCACACAGGCACCAAGGCCACGCCCGGAGCGGGGAAGCAGGCCACGGCTGGCCAGGCCGGTGGGGCGGGGGGGGGTGGTTCGGGGATCTGGGAAGCAACGGGCGGCCCCAGCCAGATGTGCTGACACCGGCGCCAGTGAGTGCAGGGCCCCCAGCCCATGCCCCACCGCCCTGGCCCACGCATGGTCAGGCCGTGGAGCGGCAGGCCTGCCACAGTGCCCAGACGGCCCCGCAGTCCCTGCGAGGGGGCTGGAGGCCGCGTACCAGGGAAGGGCTCCTCCAGGAGGCATGGGCGCCTCCGCTGCGCCAGGCCTTGGGTGGGGACCGGCATGGCTGTGCGGCCTAGGGCTGGCGCCCGTCCCCCTGGGCCTGCTAGTTGCACCCTAACACCAGCCCTGACCCCCCGCCCGGTCTGCAGGCACCCCGTTCCCCAGGAACTTCCTGCAGGTGGTGAAGAAGATCCTGTCGCGGCTCTTCCGCGTGTTTGTGCACGTGTACATCCACCACTTTGACCGCATCGCGCAGATGGGCTCCGAGGCGCACGTCAACACCTGCTACAAGCACTTCTACTACTTCGTCACGGAGTTCGGCCTCATCGACACCAAGGAGCTGGAGCCGCTGGTGAGCGGGCAGGGCGCCCACCCCCCATCCCACCCCAGGCAACCCAGGCACCCAGAGGCCCAGAGTCGGCAAGGGGAGCCAGCCCCCTGTGATGACCCAGTGACACGGGTGTGGCCCCAGGTGTGGTGGGTCACATTGGGTGCTGGGTGCCACCCATGGGGCCTCTTTGGGTTTTCATGCGGATCTGCTCCTGGGGAGACACCGTAAGTTGGGGGTACCCCTCCCTGGCTTCGCAGGGCCTTGGACCCCACGTGGGCTTTTTCTCTCTTGGGTTCCCCCACTGACTAGGGTCTTTGAAAGTTTCCCTTAAAAATTGCTAAGAACGTGGCTAATGTGAGCGGCTTCTGTGTGTGTATTTCCCTGCAGACATGCCGCTCAGTGACCATCTTCTCAGCATTTAAGTTTTAGGACCAGGCCTAATGGGGGCAGGTTCAGTCTGGGGTGACGGAGTGTTCTGGAACTAAACAGAGTGAGGGGCACTCCAGCGCGGACACAAACGCTCCTGAATTGCTCGCCTAACGATGGCTGATGTTCCGAGAACCTCACCTCTTGTTACTTACAAAACACCAAGCGAGGTCGCGTGCTGTTCTATGACCCGCTTGCCCTTCGTGGTCTGGGACGTGGTGTCCCAGTCTGTCGTCTTGTCTCCTGTGCGGAGGCCGAGGGGTCTTCCTGGAGGTGGTTGTAGGGCGGAGCGTGGCTTCCCCTGGCTCTCAGCGAAGGGCCCTGGGGCAGGCCGGCTGCTCCGTGCGGGGAGGCTGCACCCGCACCTGGGCCACTGCTCTCCCCAGCTGACACAGGATCCTGGGCCTGAAGGTTGTGTTGAGGCCTCTCATCTTTAATTCCAGCTGCTTTCTAGAAGTTTCCTTGGGGTGTGTGCCAGACTGTAGGAGGCAGGGATGGGTCAGGAGGCCACAGCCCAGGGCTGACTGCCTGGGTCTGTGCAGGCAGCCTCACCGGCACACGGGCACAGCCGGGTGCTCGCACACTGCTGCAGCAGCTCATGCACGCTGGATACACCACCCGGCCCGCCAGCCAGCGGTATCGGCCCTCTGCCCCTCCGTGGAGTCTGCGCCCCAGGTCCTGCATTACATGGGGCCCAGGGGCCCTCCAGGCAGCACCCCTGCTCTTCCATGTGTATAATTCCTGGCTGCTCGTGCATCCTACCTAATCCAATGTCCTGCTTCTTCCCAACAGAAAGAAATGACCACTCGGATGTGCCACTGAGGGCCTCCACCCTGTCTGCTGGGCCCTGCCCAGGGACACTGCAGCCTGGGGGCCACGCCTTGGAAACATGACCATTTTCTAGACCACGTGTCAGTGAGCCCCATGCCTTCAGTGCCCCCCCACCCCCGGGCACCGGGGTTCATTCTCTCCAGGGCCCAGGTGCACAGACTAAGCCTGGACGCTGTGACTGAGCAGCAGGGAAAAGCCACTTTGTGAACCCGCTTGCCTTCGCCTGGAGGCTGCCGCCACGCCCAGGCCTGTCCCCATCGCCGCCGGAGCGCAGCCACTGCACGGCCTAGGCTCCCGGCCAGGGAGAGGCCTCCCCGGCACCCCAGACTCCCAGCCTCTCCCAGAAGGCACCGCCTGGACCCGGCCTTGGCCCCCCTCAGCCCCTCCAAAACGTCGGCTCATCTGTGCAGTTTCCAGACCCCACGTCCGCGTCCAGGCTTCCCAAGGCCGCCTCGAGTACCCTCAAGGGTTTAGGTCTCATACTGTCCTTAGGACCATCTTGAGATGCTTAGGGGAGAACTTTTCACCCATACAGTGCCCGCCCCCGCTTGAGATCCCCCTTTCCCTTCAGAACAGCAGAGAACCACCTGCCTGCACACTGGGATCGGTTTTGCCGAGTGTCTGGCTGCGATCAGCCTTTCTTCAGCACCTGCCAGCTTTATATCGAAACCTTTTGTCAGGTGACACCCCCTCCCCAGGCTACGGGACCAAAACCCCAGCACAGTTTGGCCACACAACATAGGGCCATGTGGCCAGGGCCCCATGGGGGCCTCGCTGCAGTGACTACAGGGAGCCACATGCTGCCCCAAGCCCGCCACCCTCCCCAGTGACCTCCCCCAGGCGGCCCTTCCCACCCCAACCACACCCAACTCTAGTACCTCGGGTGCCCGGGGTGCTCCCTGCAGGAGCGCCATCACCCAGCACACAAGTGCAATTAACGCAGCCTGGGCCTCCATCCTTCCAGACACCCGGGCCCGTTCTGCAGGCTACGGAATGTGTCTCCTTTAAATGCAAAACCAGGACCAAATGCCAGAACCACTGTGCCCCCCCCCGCCCTCTCCAACCCCCCTATCAGGGCACCAGCTGTTGCCTGCGGCCCGGCCAGGAGGGGAAGGTGGTGGGGACTGCGGGTCAGGGAGGGCCTCCTCCCCACCCCCCACACCCCTGGGTATCCACACATGAGCCGAATAAATTGTGCCATCTTTGTACCTGCGGCTGCTGGCTATTGTTCCTGTTTTCCTGGCAGGAGGGCCGGCATGGGGCAGGTCACCACCGTTGTCACTGGGGCACCCACGTCCCCAAGGGGCCAAAGGGGCAAAGACATGGTAGATGTTACAACAGTTTGTGGCCCACCAAAGCACCCCAAAGAGATAAACAGGCACAGGCATGGGTGGAATTGGAGTCCCGTGGGTGTGGGTTGGGGTGTCAGGATGTGTGTCTGGAAGTGGGGTGACCAGCGCCATAGGGAAGGGGCACACTTCGCCGCCTCCCCTTTCTGTTTTGTGTGAGAGTCTGGCACTTACCAAACATGATTTGAACCCTGACCCTTTTTGCTCCGTGTAAAGGTCCCGGAAGTCTTTGGAGAGCAGGGCTAGGCTGTGAGTGAGGGGACAGGGCTGCGTGTGTCCCTGCCCGTTACCAGCGCTGTGACCCAGACACAGGATCGATGTACCTAAAGCCTTTCTTATTCTGGGAAACGGGGTCAGGGTCCTCACTCGGGGCCGCTTTCGGCTCCGGGGGCCGGGACTGTGCGGCCGGGCGCGGCTGCTCCGCTAGAGGGCGCGCGGTCCCTGTGCAAGGGGAGGTCCTGCTTCAAGGTGAATTCCACGGTGTTTGGGAATTCCCTCTAGAGAAGCCACGGTTTCTCAGCTTTGATTTTTGCAAACGCACCGCAGCGATTTCCAGGACTAGGGTAGGAATTTGGGGGCTGTTGTTTTCTGGAATAAAAGGCCCCAAAGATGTACCCATCCCGGTCCCAGGATGGCAGAGGGACCACGCAGAGGGACCAGTCAAGGCCCCTGAGATAGGGGTGGCCCTGGGGTCCCGGGGCCCAGGGTCCTCACAAGGGTCCCTATGAGGGGGGCAGGAGGTCAGGGTCAGAGAGACGGGAGGGCGCGGCCCTGCCGGCCGTGCAGACGGAGGAGGGGCCCCGAGCCGAGGCCGCCGCACCTCTGCAAGCTGGAAGAGGGGGACACGGTTCTCCCGGGGTCCCCGGAGGAGCCGGCCCTGCCCGCCGGATTTGGGGCTTCTGACCCCGGAACTGTCCGAATAAACTCGCGTGTTCCGTGCGCCGCCGAGTCGGTGGCCTGTGCTTGGCTGCCCGGAGCTCACACGCCCTCGGACGGCGCCGTTTGGGGCCGGCCCGGGACAGGACTAGAGGGCAGCCTCCGGGGGACTCTCCCTCCGCGGCAGCGGGGCAGTTCACCCCAAAACCCGTCCAGCCGGGAGAGGAGGTGGGGGCGCAGGTTCTGGTGTCGGGGAGTCTGGTCCGGCGCGCAGGGGTGAGAGGACGCGAGGGGTAGACGGCCCGCGAGGGACCGTCTATCAGGAGCGGCTGGGACTCGCGTCATCTCAACAGACCCGCCGAGAAGGACGGACGACCCCCCAGACGGCGCTCCGGGGAGCCGGTGCCCAGCAGGGCGGCGCAGAACGCGGGCACCCCGTCACTCGGGATTTCCAGGCCGGGGCCGGCCCTGTCCCTAGGCTCACACTGCCCCGACGGAGCGGCCGCTGGCCACATGGGGCTGCTTCAATTCCAAAGAAAGAAGAATTAAAGGGAAAACTCAGCCGCACGAGCCCACGGGGTCTCGTGGCCCCATCGCCGCCCTGCTGGCCAGGTGCTTCTAGAAGCAGTTCCCCGGTCCGCCGAAGTCAAGGCTTGAATCCCTCCCATTGCATAAAAATCGGCGGTCACGTCCCAGGGTTTGGCGACTGGCTCCCACCCGACCACCTAAGGGAGGGTGGGGGCAGGTGCACCGCGGGGACGTGCAGACCCAGCCCTCGAGAATCACCTGCTGCAGCGGCCGGAGCCTCAGGCCTCTGCCTGGGGCGGCGCCGTTGTTTTCTAGCTGCAACGCATGTTCCTCCAGTCGGTCGCCCCGGTTACCCTCCGCCCACCTGCGTGCGCCGTGGGCCCCGTTTCCCCGCGCGCTCGTCTGACCTACTTGTTCATAAAACCTTTTAATGTGTAACTTGTCATGAATGTGATTTCCCCTGCCCTCTTCTTTAACTTGATGACCGTTCGGGCATACTTGTTTACCTTTCACATTTCTGATCAATCTTTCCCTTGACGTTTTGCGCCCTTGGTGACAGATGAGCCTATGACTTGTGCTGCACAGGCCTTTAGGGAAATACCCGCTTCCTTGCGGCTCTCCATGCTTTCCTTTGTTATATGTACAGGTATGCATGAAGCACCAGGTAAACGAGAGAGTAATTTCCATGTGTGGTGTGAGGTAAGGCTCTAGGGAAATATTTATTTTTTAAACAACAAAGCACCGTGTGACCCTTCCCACCCCACGAAGCAGACCTGCCACTTATGTATTGAGTTTCCTAGGAAGTGCCTATTCCACCTCAATTTTTCATGTACCTTATGAAGTTATAGTAATTTTATTTATTATAATAAATAATAGATCATTTTAATGTTACTGTTCTCATCTTATTTACATCTAATTACATATTATATATTTATTAATTATGTAATGATTATATAGGAATTATAAACTTGTATCTATTCACTATATAATACATTGATATTTATTCATGTAGCAATTATGTTAATTATATACTATATTAACATATGTTAACTATAATTGGTATAGTAATAATATAATATTATTTATTTAATATTTAAGTATGTCATTACTACTTTTTTAATATCACTTAAAAATTTTTTTCCAGACTCTTCTAAGTCTGTATATTCCAGATGAACTTTAGAATTATTTTGAAGTTCCCGAAATATTGCCTCTGAGATTTTGGTGAAACAAAGAGTACATTTGCAAAATGACGTGGGCCCTGGGGTCACCCTGGGCCACAGGTTGGTTTGGTCCCCAGTAGCCACATACATGTGTTCACTTATTCCAGCCACGCAAGTCCCTTTAGCATTAAGTCACAGAGCCACTCTGCCCATTGCATTTTCCTTTCTTTTTGTCTCAGATGATTTTAAAATTTGAGGTATGTGACATGCCATAAAATTCACCATTTTAAAGCGCATAATTCAGTGGTTGTTCGTACCTTCCAGAGTTGCGTGGCCACCACCACCAACTTCCGGGATATTCCATCGCCCCTGAAGAAGCCCTGTCCCCCGGGGCAGGCGCGCCCCACCCCACACTACGTACTGGCACATTTCTTAGTTATTTTTGGTTGTTACTATGAATGAGATGTTTTTCCATGACGTCTTTTTTTCCATTGTACTTTCTAAATGCTTAGGGCTGGAATATATAGGAACTCTCTTGATTTTGCCATTGATCTCATAACTGGCTTCTTTTTTGAATTTTACATTCATTCTCCTGCATTTTCTAGGCAGAAATTCCCATTTGCAGATGATGGTAATTGAATGTATTCACCCTTTATGGCCAGAATCAGTAGATACCATTTCACTGATGATGATAACTGGTAAAATCAAGTACAATATGTTAAATATATACGTGTAGCTAACCACTAGCAAACTGTAAAAGAATATGCATCCTTGTAGGGTAACCAGAGGGACAAAACCAGGAAGGCAGCATCTCTAGGAGGGAAGACACAGAAAACAGCAAGGATGACTATTTTACAGCACGACACAAGGCTTTAGACCAAGCTCGTCAGTCATGGACCCGGATTGGCTAAACGGGGAGCCCTGCGTGCGTTTGTAAATAAAGTTTCTTGGGTATGGGGCCCTGCTCGAGCATTTGCATAGTACCCTGGGCGCGGGCGCGCTGCCACCTGGGAGCTGGGCAGCCGCGCCCCGCAGACCGCCAGCCCTGCAGAGCTGGAAACAGCCCCCGCTGGGCCCTCACAGGGAGGGTTTGCAGACCCCTGATACAAGATAAAGGTCGATCCTCCTGTTAAAGTATGAGAACCTCACACAGCAGTAAAATCAAAACCGTAACTTTGTTCTTTTCAAGCAGACACAGACAGCGGTTTTACAACTCGGATAGATGGTTTCACAGCTCTGAAGACACCCTTGAGCTGCACGCTGTCCATGGGAGAATCCTGTGAAGTGTGAGTTACATCCCAATAAACCTGTTATAAAAAGTCATAGAACAGCTTAAAGTAGGTCGGCTGTACCCCAAAGCAGGAGTTGCGGTGTTAGTATGTACAGAATAGGGTGCGCTTATCCTGATCAAGTTTTCTGAGTAATATATCTCTAGGGAAAATACATTAGTCAGAAAACTTTATGTACTGAAATATACTAACTGAGTAGAAATTCAAGGGAAACAGGTAAAGTGATTTAATAAGCATTTAACGTTATTTTTTTGTGGAGTAAAAAAACATTAATATTCTGATATACTAATACCTACATTTATCGATGTGTTAATTACAAACTTAAATGAATATTGATGTATTATAAAGTCATATATAATTTTACTAATATAATACAATTAATTTATAAAGTAAAATATCGATTTAATGTATAATTAAAATAATATATATATATATATATATATATACCTTATTAAAGTTTATTTGCTGGCTACTCTTAAAATTTCTTACTCAGCTAGAGAGGCCCCTTTTGTGCCAGACTACCGTGAAAGTGTTTGTGAAATTTTCTTTTCTTTTTTTAATTGATCATACATTTGACCATACAAAAAAAAAATGTCAAATTCCGAAAACCATAAAACAATATCAAATATCGCACACACCACTGCCCTTAGGCAGATGCGGTTGTGCATCATCCGTCTCAGCCCGTCCATACGCAGCAATGCAGCTGGACCGGCCCTCGTGGCCCTTACTATCATTGCCAGACACCCATCAGCAATGACCATCGGGAAACTGAGAAAGTAAAGGTTTATTACTTAAAGGACCTTGAAATTACCCAGTGAGGTCACGGGCGGAGCACCCGCCAGCCTGTGCTTCAGCTTTTATGGGGGCCCAGGGTGGGGGCTTAGGGAGGGACTCTCAGGCTCTTTATTGGTGAATTTAAAACAAGTGCGGGAACATAAAGCGCAGGAAAATAAAAGACAAGCGGCCCAAATGGTCAGTTATCAAACCAACCAAGACCTTTAAAACAAAGACGTCTCCATGGGGCTGTGGCTTTTTATCTAGGCCTGCGGCCGGCAGCATGCTCGTTCAAGATAGCCCTCCTGGAAGGGGTGGCTTGGCAATCAGAGCTGAAGTAGGGCAGTGGTGCCGCAAAAAAAGGGAGAACCTAACGATCAGGGCTTACACCGCAGCAGAACTGGAAACGACCTGCCAAGGTGACATAACTCTGCCACTGGGAACGCAGAAAGCCCTCTCCTGAACACCTCCGGGGTGGGCAACGGCCTGGATGTTGAGGGGAGAGGCCTGGCTGCAGGCTCTGAAAACCTAACAAGAAATGGACATGGTGTCAATGCCGGCTTCCTGTGTGGACGATGGGGATCGCACGTACATGTCTTAAGAGCTGCTGTGTTAGCTGGAAGTCAATAATGATGAAGTCGCTGTATGAGTCGCTATTGCTGTGCAAGCTTTTCACAGATAAAGCAACTGGGACAACACAGGTTTGCTAGCCTAGTTTCTGTGGGTCAGGAGTCCCGGCCCTGCCACACTGGGGCTCCAGGACAGGTCAGCCAGGACAGCAGTCTCACCCGGCGACTCAACCGGGGACAGATCCACTTACACGCTCTCGTGGCTGTCGGCAGGGCTCAGCTCCGTGTGGCTGCAGGACTGAGCGCCTCCGTGCCTGCTGGCTGTCTCTCCAGACCAGGGGCTCCGCCCAGCACTGCTGACACTGGCGGTGGGTCACTCTCTGTGGGGAGATGTCCTGGGCCCGGTGGGGGTTCGAGCAGCCTCTATGGCCCCCACCCACTTGACACCAGGAGCTCCTCCACTTGTGACAACAACAGATATCCCCAGACACGGCCTGGGGTCCCTCTGGGTCAGAAACACCACGAGGTTTAAAAGCTCTGGGGTGTGTTCCTGGCATTGAGTGTCAGGGGCTTCTCCATCCAGCACACGGTACGATATGGGGTTCCTGCTTACGTCTCTGGGCACAAGTTCTCTTGCAAAACACAGACAGGTCGTCTTGACATCTCTTGTGAGTGAGAAGCAGGCGTTTCCTTAAATGCGTTGTTTCTGGTCATTGATATTGTGTCAAAATCACCGTCTCCAGCGCTCAGCTCCCAATCTGCAGGCTGCACACTCTCGCGAACTAACTGCCCGCTGGTTCCCTTCTCTTCATTCTCCCAGATTCAGTAACCTAACACGGCAGAAAACGGGCCAAGCACCGTGTGGCTATTTGCTTCGCCTCCGACCTTGGCCAATGGGCTCCCCTTGAGGTGCCCCACAGAGCTCCCCCAGCCCCCCGGCTGCCGCAGCCCCGTCACCCCACACGGCATCAAACTGCCACCATGCTGGGCTGTTGTTGTGAAACATCTTTACTGAGATGTCACCAACATATTTGTACAACTCACCCATGCAAAGTGTGCAGCTGGCATTTGGTGAATTCACAAAGCCGTGCGGCCCCCCCTGTATCTCGTTCCAAGACATTCTCACCGGCCTGGAAGCTGTGTCCATTAGCAACTAGCTCCTATTCTCCCGTTTCTGTCTGTGGATCCGCCTGTTGTGGACGCTCCCCAGAAATGGGGTCATGGGCCGCGTGGCCTGTGTCTGGCATCTCACTGAGCGCTGTGCGGTCAGGGCTCCACTCCTTCCTGCGGCCGAATCATTTCCAGTGTGTGGACGGACCACACTGGGTCCCGGCTGTGGGCCGCCTGGGCCGCACCCACCCTTGGCCGTCCTGGGCGACAGAGTCCTGGCTAGGCCTGCTGTCTCAAAGCCACTGTTTACAAGGCACCTCTGCTGACCTCCTCATATGCCTCTGCTGGTCACCCGCCGGGAGTGGGGGAAGGTGTGCGTTCCTAGATATTTCTGGAGCCATCTGCCCTTCGTTCCAAACCAGACAGCAGATGAAAAACAAAACCAGCTGCCATGCTCCGCCCCTCCCTGCCTCAGGCCTCACGTCCCTGACGGGAATTCTGCTCCCAGGAAGGCCGACCTGGAAAACAGCCAGGAGTGAGCTCTGTCTGTCCTGAGCAGATGAGGGGGGAGGCTTGCTCCCAAACCCACCAGGCCTCAGGGGTCTGCCTAAGTTTCCATCAGATGCTAACAGTTGGCCTGCATTTCCTACTGGTGACACATGGACCCCTCCAGCACGTTGTTGGAAAGTGGAGATGGAGTCGGGTGGTCACCCCTGAGCCGCCCCCCGCCCCCAAGGCCAGGACTCCCGGCGCTGACTTACTGAGCTGCTGCAAAATTCTCCCTCTTGCTGGGCAGCAGGCCCTGTCCTGACCCTCAACAAGAGACAGGCCCGGGGCTGGCTTGGATACCACAGCAAGGTCCTGGACCGTCACGCGCCCAGGGGCCCTGCACACCCTGCTTCTGTTGACCCCGCGGTCTTCCCTGCCACCTGGCTCACTTGTGGGAGAGATCTTCTCTCCTGCTCCTTGGGCTCAGCTCTGGGGGTCACCCCACGTTCTGACAACCCGGCCAGACCCAGGAAGGATCAGGGATACCGGTAGGAGTCCTGGAGCAAAGGTCCAGAGCGGGCGGAGCCGAACCACCTCTCTCAAATGGATGTGCCCGTCCGTCAGTCCAGTCCCTAAAAGCTGCCCGGGGCAGAGCTGTTCTGTCACAGCCGCATTAGAAAGCCGGGGGGATCGGCCGGGGCTGCAGGGCTTAAAACCACACGACTTTACTCTCTCGCAGTTCTGGGGTCAGACGTCCACATGGGCTTCACGGGGCTAAATCCAGGCGGGCAGGGCCGGCTCCTCCGGGGGCCCCGGGAGAACCGTGTCCTCTTCCAGCTTCTAGAGGCCCCGAGGCCTCGGCTCAGGGCCCCCTCCTCCATCTGCACGCCTTCCCATCTATCTGACCCTGACCTCCTGCTCCCCTCATAGGGACCTTTGTGAGGACGCTGGGCCCCGGGAACCCAAGGCCACCCCCATCTCAGGGTCCTTGATTTTCACAGCTGGCAGGGCAGCATGCTGGCCCCCAGGAGACAGACAGCCCACCCCAATGGTACCTCCACAAACCCCAAAGAATCCTGGACATATGGGGAGATTCCCACTGGCTGGGGGCCCTGGCGGAGTGGGGAGACCTGACAGCCAACTAGGAGGGCCTCCAGACCAAAGCCAGCCCTCCTGGGCCCCGGCCTCCCTGGAAGCTTCCAGAACAGCTGGAGCATCATGCCTTTGGAGGGCCATGCTGCACCTGCAGGCCATCTTCAATGGGTCAGTGAGGCAGGGACAATGTTCAAAATTTACTTACCACTAGAGGTGTGCCCTCTTTTTCACCGTATTTCTAACTAGTTTTACACTCACAGAAAAGTTGCAAAAATCACACTGAGAGTTTCCAGATACCCCCACCCACTTTCCCCTTAAGATGACATCTCATGTTGCCAGGGAAGGAGGATCAAAGGACACTCCAGGTCAGTGTGTCCAGGGGTGCAGGGCGGGGCTGCATGGAGGGACAGGAGGGACCACCAGGGGGAAGCTGGCCCCACATCCCAAAGCCTGACATGGACCGGGGACCCTGCCCAGCTAACTGTCCCTCTCCTTCCCAAATCTCTGGGCCCTGTAGCCCCTCCACATGCCAGCCCTGGTCCCTGAGGGCAGCCTTGGCAGGGACCTGGGCTACAGGCATCTCCTCGCCCCACAGGCCACCCCTGGCCGGGGACATGGAGGATGCCGATGGGCTGTTTGGCGGGTCACTTTCACTGCTGTCTGCACCCAGGGTCAGCCCATGTCACTGCTCACCCCTGATGTCACTGAGCTGGGCCAGCTGAGAGTGGAGAGGAGGGCCCATCCAGGGTCGGGGGACACTGCCTGTGGCCCCTGCCTCCCAGTCTGTGGGGACCACGTCCTTGCTGTCACCCCTCTGCTTTCCGGTGTCGGCACAGAGGGCCTGGACATTGGACCGGACACCCGGGGAAAAACAAGCTGGTTTCCAGGTGGGGAAGGGAGAAGGGGCCCGAGTTAAGGGATATTCCCTGGCCCCCTGGGAAGAGGGGCGGGCGCCGGGTCCCGGGCCTGCAGAATGGCCTTCTTGGGGGTACGCTCGCCGTGAAGCCGCGGGGCGTGGGTGACGCTGAAGGCGGGTGCTGCATGGGGTCCAGGTGCACACTCTGGCACTGAATAAATGCAGGGGTTCCCCCGGGAAAGCAACAGGATCCGGATGCGCAGTCCCCACAGCCCTGCTGTGAACAACTGGGGAACACGAGGCCCGGCCTGCGTACCCCCAACCCAGGGCCCCGCCCTCCGCACTCTGCCCTAAACCCGAGGGCGGACAGAGCGCTGAGAAATGGGCGCGGTCCCTTTAAAAAGGGTGCGGTCCTCCTCGCGTGGCCCTAACAACAACAATGTCATTGGCTGGAGGGCTGGCCTCGACCACGCCCCTCACGCTTGGCCCCCCCCCCCCTGGAATCCTATTGGCTCAGGGCTAGGACTCCGCTTCACCCCCCCCACTCCCGTTGGGAGCCCGGGAGCCGCGCCAGGTGGCTGACGCAAACTCGTTGTCCCGGCAACCATCGGATCCTACGGCTGAGGGGCCCAGCGCTGGAGCCAGGGCGCAGGCGCGGCTGCTCTGTTCCCCAGGGCGTGCAGCCGGAACCCCGGAGTCTGCGGCACCCCTCGCGGCCGCCGCACCGCGCGGGTGGGAGGGGCCTCTGGGGACTGCTGCCGGGCGGAGCGCGGCGCGGGCCGGCGCGGGGGGCTGGGAGGATGCAGCCCGGTCCCTGACCTGCGCTACGGCCTCCACTGGCCTTCGGCAGCACAGCAGGTGCCCGGCCAGCAGTCCGGACTCCCGGGACTCTCCCGCTCCCTGGACATGTCGCCCCTGTCCCCGCCCATCAGGGACCTGGCCAGGTTTGCCTCCTCCGGTCCTGGCAGGTCTAGTCTCCCTTTGCTTGTCTGCAAAATGGGGACTCTGGGACCCCGCGAGCGTCAGTGCCCACAGGAGCTCCCTACGGACACCATAACAAAGGCCGCGGGTTTAGTGGCCTAGAATGGCAGAAACATTGTGTGACAGTTCTGGAGGTCAAAAGTCCTAATTCCCCGTGGGCAGAGCCGGCTTCTCGGGGGCCCCGGGAGAACTGCGTCTACCTCTTCCGGTTTTTAGAGGCGCCACAGCCTCGGCTCTGCGCCCCATCTGCACAGCAGGCGCCTTCCCTTCTCTCTCTGAGCCTGACCTCCTGCCCCCCTCTCATAGGGACCCTTGTGAGGACCCTGGGCCCCCTCCATCTCAGGGGCCTTGATCTAATCCCCTCTGCAGCGTCCCTCTGCCATGTGAGGAGGTCCTGGGACCGGGCCCATCTTTGGGAGCTGCTATTCTGCCCACCCCAGAGCCAGCTCTGCCTTCTGCACAGCAGAACTCAGCCATTCCAGGCCTGGGGCCCTCACTGACCTGGAGCTGCCCCAAGGACGTGGCTTCTGAACACACCTGGAGTCAGCCAGCAGGGAGCCGCCCCGCAGAGGGTTTGGGGCAGGTGAGCTGAGCCATGGGCGCCAACAGAGCACGGGGCTTCCCCACGTGCACCTCCCCTTTCCTCTCTGTCCCAGACACCTGTCCAGCCATCCCCAGCTCCCCCTCTCTGTTCCCCCAGGGCTGAGCCCCTCCCAGGACTTGCGCACAAGCCCCCCACCCTCCTCAAAACCAGAGTCCCTTTACATGATGCCCCAGGTCACTGGTGGGGAGCAGGTCATCTGGGAGTGGGAGACCCGGCTCCCCTGAGGGCCGCCGGGGTGTCCACTGCCTTTGATGAGGGGATAGAGAGAAGCGAGATGACAAGCCAAGTGCCCTGTCCTCGGTCACTGGGGCAGCAGGATGGCCTTTGTCCATCTGCTGGGCCAGCCCTGCCCAGCCCCTGGCCCCACCCCTCCCTCGGGGACTTTTGGTGACTGACCCGAGGGAATCAGGATGTGCACTGTGCTACCCCCTTCGATGAAGGGCAGGCCCCACGCTGCGCAGACAAACCACAGCCAGGCAGGCGCGGCAGCCGGAGCCCTGCCCTCCCCCGCCCTCACGAAGGACGGCGGCCCTGGCTCCTACCCCAGGACTGCTGAGCCACCGGAATGGAGCAAGCTGTGAGTCAGCCAGCAAGGAGGGACACTTACAGCCACTTGCATCAGATCTGCCTACTGGGTGGCCCCACAGCCAGAGACCCCAGCCTGTGACCCTCACTTATCCAGGGACTTCCTGGAGCCTGGTTCCTGCCTTGTGGGGGTTGGGGACAGATGGGAACACCCAGGCAGGGTACAGGCCTGGCTGGGTGCCATCCCAGGACTCTGACTCCACCTACCCCCTGACCCACAGCCACTCCAGCCCCAAGTGTGGACCCTGAATCCTCCCCGCCGACACTCACTCAGAAGCTGTGCTTGGATCCCATCCTCCCATACCAGCGGAGTCTTGAGAAACAGCCCTATGTCCTCTCTGAGCCTCAGGTGCCTTCTCTGGGCACAGGAGGGGGCCCAGCCTTCCACCTAAAGACACGGGCCTGTGAAAATCCTAGCACCAGCCCTACACGGGGCTCCGTGACACGTGGGCACACACCAGCAGGTGCGTGCATGGGCCAGGTGTCCCCCACTCTACTCCCACACGCACACAGGACCCCAGCCTGCTCACATTCACCAAGGGGTGTCTTTTTTTTCTTTTAACGATGGGTGGCAAAGGCTTTACCGTCCCCTGGTAGGGTTGCCAGATCAAATACAAGATGTGCTTCAGATAAATAGTGAATAATTTTGGGGATATACTTATGCATGGGGCTTACAATGAAAAGTTATTCATTGTTTATCCAAAATTCAAGCCTAACTGGGTGTCCAGTATTTTCATTTGATAAATCTGGCAACTCTACCTGCTGGGTTGTAGAGGCCGTGAGCTGCCCTGGGGACGCTCCAGACGGAGCCCAGGAAGTGAACTTGGAGCCCCCAGGATCCCAGGGCTCTGGACACTTGGCCAGGCTTGGCGGGGGGACGGTCAGTGCGGACAACACTCATCCAGCCAGCGTGTCTCCTGCTGGGCCCCCAGGGAGCCACAGGGAAGCTGGAGGAGAGCAGCCTGGGAAGGGGAGGGTGGGGAGGGGAGGCCTGGGTGGGGGTGGGGGCCAGGGAATCGCTCTGGCGGATGCAGCAGGCTGGCTGCACAACATGGTTTCCTGCATGTCCCCCCACCATTCAGGTCAGCACTTCCTACTCTGAAAGCCTCAACTGGCCCTGGCCCCCAGGGCAATTCTGAGACCCACTCCCAGGCTGGCTGCCTCCCCTGGCCTCCTTCAGAGGGCGTGTCCTTGTTCTGGGCCCTGCCTGCTGCCTGTCCTGCCTGCCAGCTCTGTGTCTGCCTTGTGCCCTGGTGGGACTGCTCCCTGCTGACCCTAGCTACCCCGATTCAGTCCACACTCCGGAAGGATGGAGGAAGCCAGCCTCTGGCCAGCAAGGCAGGCTGAGGAGCAGGGGGCCAGGGCCCAGTCTTCCGGTCTTGCCTGACTGGCAGGTCTCCTGCACCCCAGGGCAGGTGGGGTCACCTTCCCAGAGCCAAGTGAGACTCCAGGGGCCAGGGAAAGGTAAGCAGGGTGGCCAGGCCTGCCTAGCACCCTAGGCACCTCCCAGTCCTCTCTCCTTCCCCAGCCCTTGGGCGTCCAGCACCTTTGGGAGCTCAGCCTTAAACAGCCAGCTGTCCTGCAGGAAGAAGACAGGAGTCACTGTCTGGGGCCAGAAGCCAGCCTGCAGTGGGACAGAGCTGAGGCCACAGATGGCCTTCCCTTCCCCCTTCCCACTGGCAGCCTCCCTGACCCCCCAGAGGACCCTGGGCGGTGTGTGGGCACATCTGCACTTGTCACAACTGGGACACTACTGGCATAGAGTGGGTGGGAGCCAGGGGTGCTTCTCAACCCCCCTAAGTGCCTAGGATGGCCCCCAGAGAACCACCGGGCCAATGTCAGCAGTACTGGGGATACCCTGTAAGGAAAGACCCCAGAAATGGGCCATTTTCCTGTCTCAGAGCTGTTGCCCCACCTGCAGCATGTGGCTCACGAAAGGCCCAACTGTCCAGACTGTGAAGTAGTTGCTCAGTGCCGAGGGCTGGTCCTGGCTTCTTTGGGAACAGACCTGGCCCCACTGGCTGAGCTCCTGGGTCAGGGCATGGCACCTAGGACCCGAGCTTGGCTAGCCCTAGGATGATGGCACAGGGGCAAAACCTTGTTTCATTTCCATTCATTGAGGTCAGTGTGCCTGGCAACCCCACACAGGTCCACACACAGGGACCAACATAGATGAACACCCACACCAGGAAACACAGCTGCACATGGGAAGTGGTCCCACTCACTGTCGTGGGCTGAATTTCATCCCCCAGGAAGACAGGTCCACATCCCAAAACCTGGACCGCATGAATGTGACATTCGGTGTACTAAACATGAGATGGTACTGGAGCAGGTAGGCCCTGACCCAAAGACTGGTGCCTTTTTAAGAAGAGGGACACACAGAGACAAAGAAGACAGCAACGTGAAGGTGTAGGCAGATTTGGGGCCATGAGTCCGCAAGCCAAGGACGTCAAGGTTACAGCCCCCACCGGGAGCTGGGAGAGGCAGACAGAGCCTCCCCCGAGACCAGACCAGCAGTGGACAGATCTGACCCTCTCGGGAGGGGCAGAGGCCCATCTATACCCACCCACATCAACCAGAAGTGCATGAAGACTTGCACGTGACCCCATACATGAAAACAGGGCCCCAGAGGCAGGTGGGGAGACGAATGCAGAGGATGAAGAGGGCACCCAAGGCTTCCCCTGAGTGGGCAGGCCTGGCAGTCCCACCACAGGCACCTGGAGCCAATGCGTGTGCCTGCGTGCGTGCAAACACACACACACACACACACACACACACAGTTGCTGGTGCATGCACACACATGCACAGGATGGAGGGCTGGCTCTGGCTGGGAAATTCCCTGCAGGTTTCTCTAAACGTCAAACATCACCTGGCTGGCTGAGGTCAGGCCTCCCAGCTCCAGTAGCCTGAGCTTTGGCCTGGGGGGTAGGGGACAATCCAACCTCAGATCAGCGGGGCTTGGTTGGGGGGACATTGGGCTGGGGTGACAGTGAGCCTCTGCAAGGACAAGCCAGGGCCTGGACGAGAGGAAAGACAGTCCACCCCGCAGACCTGTTCCCCAATGTGCCTGGGGCACAGGGTCTGAGGACTTCACCACCGTACTGTGGGTCAGCAGCTGGTCCAGCACAACAGGGGCTGATGCTAGCTGCAGCTGGGCTGGAGGCCCCAGCCAAATGGGCCTGTTTCACCTTCTATCCTGGTTACCCCCCACCTTTGGGCTCTACTGGTCAGTCCGAGGTCCCAGGTCTCCCAGAACCATTCTTTGCAGGATGAGGGAGGATCCTTCACAGAGCTCAGTCCCCTCTCCTCCTGTGGTCGCTTTTCCCTGCCAAAAAGGAGGTGAACTCCCGGGGAGCTCTCCGGGGCGGGGGGAGGGGGGGAGGGCGGAGGCAGCTGGTTCCCCAAGGGCTCCGGGATGCACCAGCAGGACAGCTGGGGCCGGGACGGGAGGTGCAGGGGAGGGGAGGAGGTGCAAGACAGGGCCGTGGCAGGTTCCAGGGTTGGGGAGCTGCAAGGGGCCGTAGCAAATTCTGGACTCGCTCAAGGGTGTGAGTGTATCCCAGCCCCAGCTGGCACCCTGCAGGGGTTGCCAGAGAGAAGGGCCCGGCTCTGCCCAGGGTCAGGGTCCCGCAGGGCTACACAGGACTCAGGCAGCTCTTCGTGCACCCACGGCCCAAATCCACCACCGGCTTCTTCCCCAGCTCTCGCGCCGCACCGCGCAGGCGCACGAACACGCCTCCGGCTAGACCCGTAGCGTCCCTCCAACTCCGCCCTCGCCGCGCGCGGGGTGCGGAGCTGGAGGGGCGTGTCCGGCGTCGGAGGCGGGGCCTGTTGGCCTATAAAGCCGGCGGCGGGGCGCTGCGTCTGGCTCCTCTCGGCGGCGGCGGCCCAGGCTGGGGAGTCCGCGGTGGCGGCAGCGGCGGCGGCGCTGTTCCCCGCGCGGTCCGCGCAGCGGGGTCCGGGCTGCGCGTCTCGGGCGGTGGCGGCGGCACTGCGGCCCGGCCCTGACCCCGGTGAGTGCGGCCCGGCGACTCCTGCCCGTCCCTGACCCGGGCGCGGGGATCGGCCCCAGCGAAGCCTCGGCGGCCCGGCCCGGGCTCCCGGCACGCCGGCTGCGGCCACTCACGCCCTCCTTTGTCTGCTCCCACCCACAGGGTCCCCTCCTCGGCCGCCCCCCGCCCACGGGCCGCCCCCCGGGCCCCGCGTCCCCTCCCCCGCTGGCGGGGCTCGGACAGAAGATGGTGCAGAAGAAAACAGCCGAACTTCAGGGCTTCCACCGTTCGTTCAAGGTGAGGCCCGGGTCGGCCCGGGGGAGCCCTGGGCCGGACCAGCCGAGCGGCCGGTGGTGGGGCGCAGAGCCCGCCCCCAGGATGCACCCGGGCTCGTGTCGCCCCCCCGCCCTGCGCCTGGGGCTGCCCCAGCTGGGTGCGCACGGGTCGGGGGTCAACGGACCACCTCCAGTCCCCAGTGCCCAGGGGCCTCTCTCTGCCAAGACTGGGGGCCTCGTGCAGGCCCCCAGGCAGGTGTGCAGGGGCTGGGGGGCAGGGAGGTTGGCAGGCCACAGTCCAGTCCCCAGCGCCCTAGAGCCTGCGGGGGTCTTTTCTTCTAGAACCCCAGGTTGGGGTGGGGGGCTCCCTGTCCTTGGGGCTCCTGGCTGTGTGTCCCCTGCAAACTCCAGCCGTGTGTGCATGGTTGGAGGGTTCAGCAGGTCACAGTCCTGTATCCGGTGCAGCGGGGCCTTTGGGGTCTGTGGCTCCGTCGTCCAGAAATCCCAGGCAGGGCTGCAGGCGCCTGGAGTGCCTTCCTAGGTGGTCTGCAGAATGGGGTGTTGTTTGGATGTCCCCCAGCCGTGCACCTCTCACACCCTGGGCCAAAGCGTTATTTCCTGTCGGAGCGGGAAGTTCCTGTGGTGGCCCCATGGTTGTCACAGCTGAGTCCTGGTCTCAGATGAGCGAGTCTGGGGGGAGGCGGGCAGGTGCTGGGCTGGGGCCCCACAGGGCCTGGCCCAGGGGACGCGGTGATGTCAGTGGCTGCCTCACCCCACTGGCCGAGTTATGTAATGGCCTCCTTGGGCAGGGACCTGTTGCCCTATGGAGAAGCAGGACCTGGGTGTGCGTGCGTGTGTGTGTGTGTGTGTGTGTGTGTGTACAGGCATGCTGCACCAGTGGGGGAGGAGCCAGCCAAGACTGTTCGGGGTAGAACTGCCAGGCCTGCCCAGCCAGCGTCCTGGGCAGTGTGTGCCTCACCCTTGCCCACACGCCTGTCATCCTCATTCCCCCAGCCCCCAGGCAGTTACAGCCATGGCATGTTCAAGTGTCCAGGGCTGGATGGGAGGGGGTGGATCTGAGACATCAGCGGTGGTCTGTCCCCTCTTGGGGCTGGGTGTGTGCCGAAACAGGGTCAGTGAGAGGGGCCAGCACAGCAGCCAAAACAATCTCAAAGTTTCTGGATGGTTCCAGCCACCTCCTGCCAAGACCTGCTGACTGGAGGCCCACAGCCAGTCCCAGCCCAGCCCGCCCACACTGCTCAGGACTGCGGGCTGGCCTCTGCAGGCTGCTGGACAGCCCTGTGCCCAGGTGGGACTATGGGAGTCCTGGAGGAGGTAGGAGGGACTCCGAGCAGGGAGCCCTGGCTCTGAGGTGGCTCTCCAGGTGTCCAGGGCAGGCCACTCTAGCGGCCTCCTCACACCACACTGAGGCCACTTCCTGGGGCTGCGGCCGCCTCCCTGGCCCTAATCCGGCATTGTAGCAAGGACACATATTTCTAGGTGTCCCTGACAAATGTTCCACATTTTAAGATGGGGAATTGACGGTTTGCAGAGAGCTGGTGTTTGTCCTGGGTCCCCCTGTGGTGATGAGGACACAGGAGCTGAGTTCCCCTGGGTGGCGTGGCTGCCCCTCAGCCCCATCTGCAGGGTCCAGCTCTGCCGGGTTGGAGGCTGGGACGGCACGCAGGGGCAGTGAGAGGACCTGGCAGTGGCTTCAGGTCCTTCTGCCCTAACGGGGTTCCAGGAATTGGGGCAGCTTCTTCCCGTCACACCTGGGGCTGAGGTCACCAGGCCAGGTGGGGTAGCTGGTGAGTTCCAGTGCCAGCTGCCGACCCTGAGCCTCATGTCCACCTCCCTATTCGTCATCCCCTTGATGTGGCCACCTTGGGGTCCCCCATCCCAGGTAGAGCCTTCACCCCAGTACCTCTGGATGGAGCCTCATCAGAACCCTGGTGGCTGACATCTGTGGCGCCATGTGCCTGACTCCCCTCAGGGGCCAGAGCGCCACCGGCTGGCTGGAGTACCCCTTCTCCTCCCCTGCTGGCCCTGGGCCGCCTAGCAACTATCTGTAGGTGGGGCAGGGGGTGCTGGGAGGCCCGAGTCCGTTTTCAGCCACTCCCTCTGACCTCTGCCTGCCCCCTCTGTGGCTGGTCCGGCTTCCGGGCCTCCCGTCTGCAGGAATCTGGCCTGGCCTCTTCTGCCGGGTGGCCCCTCAGGGTCTCCCCAGGGTTTTTCTCGGAGTTCCTTCTCTGCTGGATGGTCCTCCTGTCACAGCCCCAGCCCAGTTGTTCTGCAGCCCAGGCAAGGGCAGTGACTTGGTCCAGGTCATGTGGCACTGGTGCTGGCACCACGTCGTGTGTAGGCTGCTGGGTCTGTTGCCAGGGTTGGTGGCTGAATTGGAGCTAATTCCTAAGGGACCTGGCCAGGCCTGGTGTCTCAGGCCCAAAGGCCCACGCCGGGCCATCTGCTCCATGGAAATGTTCTTCTTCCAGCAGCCTTCTGTTTGGGGCCTAGGACGAGCTTTTCCCACCCCCTGGCTGCCTTTCCCTGGTCAGGGTGGAGTGCCCCGCCCCCCAGTTCTGGGGGGCCACCTGGCAACCTTGAGCGGCCCCTCCCCAGCAGAGCTGGTTTCTCAGCTGGGCACCAGGGCCTCTGAGGGGCTCCCTCCTGGGGCATTTGAGGGTACAACGGGACAGCACAGGCTGTGGCCTTGTGTTCACACTCAAGTCCGTGGGTACCTCTCCCTTGAGTCCCCAGGGGCTGGGGGAGTGACAGGCTGGAAACAGCGGGAAGGGAAAGAGGAGCATAAGATGAGAAAGGCAGTGGTGCCCTGGTTCACAGAGGGGAAATCGAGGCCAGCAGGGCCAGGGCTTTGTTTGGGCAGGTCTGAGCCCAGGAGGCCATGGGAGAGCAGGTTAGGAGCCTGGCCTGTGGGACAGTGACTCCCACCTCCCCCGACTGCCCCGCTGTCTTTAGTTCCCAGCAGCCCAGGAGGTCAGCTGGGCTATGGAGACTGTTCCCCTTCTGCAGGTGAGCAAATGGAGGCAAGAGGCATGGCCTGGGCCCCAGGTGACACCCCCAACTCTCTGCCTGCATTGGGCACCCCCCCACCAAGGTCTCACAGGCCCCAGGCTGGGGTAAAAGGGCCCTTTCCTCCCTGTTAGGCAATGCCAGGCTCTCTCCACTCGGCATGTGGAGACGGGCGGGGGCCGCCCAGCCCAGGCAGGCCTGAGAACTCAACTCTCTTTTTCCCCTGCAGGGGCCGAATCCTTTCGAGCTGGCCTTGGCCCTAGATCAGGCCCACCACGGGGAGGCCGACTTCAGCCTGGAGGGCCCGGCCCGCCCTGGTGAGGGCCAAGAGGGAGGGCGCTCTTGGCGGTGGGCACAGGTGAGGCTGGGCAGCCACAGGGGTGGGCCTCACCTGCGGGTATCCTGGCACAGATATGCCCACGAGCCAGCCCATCGACATCCCGGACTCCAAGAGGAGGGGCAAGAAAAAGAAGAGATGCCGAGCCACCGACAGCTTCTCAGGCAGGTTCGAAGGTGAGCGGAGCCCCACGGGGGGTGGGGAGCAGGGCAGCTCGGGTAGTCCTCACTGGTCCGTCTCCCCAGATGTCTACCAGCTACAGGAGGACGTGCTCGGGGAGGGCGCCCACGCCCGTGTGCAGACCTGCGTCAGCCTCATCACCAACCAGGAGTACGCTGTCAAGGTGAGCGCCAGCACCTGGGCGGTGCCCTCGCCTCCCTGGGCGCTGGGAGGGCGCCCCGGCAGGAGGAGGGAGCTGGTGTCCCAACTCCCAGGCCAGCAGCTGGGGAGAGCCGGTGCCTTAAAATAGCCCCAGAGCCGGAGAGTCAGGCCATCCCTGGGAGTCCGGGTCAGCCCCGGCTGAGCCCCCGGGTTTGGGCAGGAAGTGACCCTGAGGGGCAGCCCCCTGCACGGGCGGCTGAGGGCTTTGATCAGAGCCAACTCTCCTCTTCTGGGCCAGCTTGGGCCAGTGTGTACCCCCCAATACTGGTTACAGGGATTAAAAGGTAATGCCATACTTGGGGCCCATGGGGGGCTCGGCACTAGGGAGACCAGGTCAGGCCTGTGGGAGCCTCCTGTGTACCCCCACGTGGCTTTTGACACGGTGTGGCCGAGCGGCCTGGGAGCTGTGACCTCGCGACCGGTGTGTTCAGCCAGGCAGTCCCGAGTTCTCAGAAGTCTTCCCTCGTGACCCTCCATCTGGGGTGGGTGGGGCCACAGGAGGCTGCCCAGGAATGAGGACCAGGTGCTGCTTGGCAAGAGGGGCTGGCCAAGCCTTGGTCCTGATGGGAATTTGGTGACTGGGCCACAGTCCCTGCCCCTGGGAGCTCCCAGGTGGGGTGCAGCGATGGTGCAGGCGAACTGGACGCTCAGCATCACGCTGTGGACCCTGGGCATTGGGGCTTTTCTCTCAAGCACCCTGCTGGGCAGCCTAGGTTCCTTTCACTGACAGGTAGGGAAACTGAAGCTTGGAGGAGCAAGGTGGGGTGAGCTTTACCACATGTGACCTCGTAGAAGGCTGTCCCCCTCCCTTGAGGGACCGCCCTCTTGCCCATGCAGTAGCCAGGCACTCATGGGACAGGACAAGGTTCAGTTGACATGGTTGAATGGTGTGGCTGGCCCTGGAACCTGGTTACTCCGCCCTCCTCAGGCACAGGTGTGTCACTAGGCAGGTGGGACCGTGTATAGGCCCCACCCCGCCAGCCAGTGAACAGGCATGCGTGGTGCAGGAGCCTGGCCAGTGGAACACGCCACGTTACCCTCTGGGCAGCGGCTGTGGGCAGGGAGCCCAGGCACAGGTGATGGCGCAGCCTGCCCACTCTCCCAGTGAGAGGTTATCCAAGTGTCCACCCTGGGAAGAACCTCCCAGTGGGTGCCTGGGGCCTGAGGTGCTCCAGAGAGCCAGTGGGCACGTTCTGACACTGAGCAAAGGTGGCTCGGGGGGCATTTGGGGAGTGGGCCTGGAATCCTTCGGTCCTTAAGAGTTTCTGGGTGTCAGGGGTCCGGGGCAGAGGCTGGCATACTGGGCTCTGGGGTTATCAGAGGCTGTGCCCACTGGTAGGCAGGGAGGCCAGTCTGGGCTTACCAGAAACAGACCCAAATTCATGGGGCATCTGCCCAAACTGGGAAGGCAGGACTTGGTGCTGAGGCAGGCGGGGACAGACAGCTTGGCTGACAGGTGCCCTGAGGCCCCTCCAGTGCCCTAGGCAGTGTGGGAGCTGGCACACTGGCCATCAGCCTCCTGCTCAGGGAGGCGAGGCTGCCCAACCAAAGGGACCCTGACGCCCAGATGGGGCATTTTGCAGGGGCCCCAGGCCCCAGATATGCCCAGGGCCTGTCCGAGTCGCCCCCCTCTACCTCCCCCTCCACTGGTGCTGCGCAGGAAACACACTGCCCCAGCCTCTGCTGAGTCTGCAGGTCTGACTTCCGGCAAATTCTGCCTCCCCCGCCCCCCGCACAAGAGCTCTGCTTTCTAGACCCTAACGGCCTAAGCTCTAATGGGGTTCCAGGCATGGCATGGGGAAGTTTCTGGTGGGGCCCCCAGGGCTGTGGGGTGTCCAGCTGACCCAGCTGGTGTGCCCTCAACCCCTACCCTGGCACCATTTCAGATCATAGAGAAGCAGCCGGGCCACATTCGGAGTAGGGTTTTCCGGGAGGTGGAGATGCTGTATCAGTGCCAGGGACACAGGTAAGGTGACCCGCCCTTGCCACAGACTGGGCCCTGAGCCATCTTCCAGTGGGTGACTGGGCCTGAACGCCTGTCACTCCCAGCAAGCATTTTGGGAGCAACCAGGCTGGGAACCGGGCCCTGTGCTGGCTGCTGTGGGGGGACCCGCTGTCAGGCAGGCAGTCCAAGGGCAGGCAAGGTGGAAGCAGGCCTCAGTCCCTGCCTTCCTGTGGGCAGGTGGTGCCAGCGGGCAAGCCTCTCCTGGGCAGGGCTACCAGGTGCAGCAGCCTCAGGAAGCCTCACTCCTCGTCTGCTTTTCCACACCCCATCCCAGGAACGTTCTAGAGCTGATTGAGTTTTTCGAGGAGGAGGACCGCTTCTACCTGGTGTTTGAGAAGATGCGGGGTGGTATGTGGGGCCCGGGAGGCACCTCCAGCCGCGTCCTAACGGGCTGCAGGCTCAGGGCCAGCAGCGAGGCCCTCAGACTGGCACGATAAAGGGACTTCTGGGGCCTGGGCCCCCTGTCCGCATGGCAGCTCAGGGGCGAGGACCCTGGTACTGAGGAAGCCAGAAAGGGGGCTTCCCTGCTGGGCGGGAGTGGGTGCTGGACGGTGGCCTGGCGACACGAGTGACCTCTCCGTGTCCTCCCTACGCCTCCCCGCCCCAGGCTCCATCCTGAGCCACATCCACAAGCGGCGGCACTTTAACGAGCTGGAGGCGAGCGTGGTCGTGCAGGACGTGGCCAGCGCCCTGGACTTCCTGCACAACAAAGGTGGGTGGTGCAGCTGGTGCTGGAGGCGCGCCGGCCTCGCGCCCTCTCGCCGCGAGTCGCCCGGCTCCCACGGTGTCCCGCCTCGCGCCTGGCACAGGGCTCCCGGAGAGGTGCCTGCCCCGCGCCGACCTGCTTCGTGGTTCTCCGCACAGGCATCGCCCACAGGGACCTAAAGCCAGAAAACATCCTCTGCGAGCACCCCAACCAGGTGAGCGGCGCCGGCGGGCGGCCTTCTCCGCGGGCCCGGGCGGCTGGACGGGCCCCTGCGCTCACCGCGCCTGCCCCCCCTCAGGTCTCCCCCGTGAAGATCTGCGACTTCGACCTGGGCAGCGGAATCAAGCTCAACGGGGACTGCTCCCCCATCTCCACGCCGGAGCTGCTCACCCCGGTGAGCGGGCGCGCCCGGCCCGCCCGAGCCGCGGTGGCCCAGCCACACGGGGTGGCCGCCGCAGGGCCGAGGCGCCCACGGACTTCGGGCTTCCGCGTAGCAACAGCCGCGGATTGGGCGGGCGGGGCACCCCGCCCCTCGCTCCTGCCGCGGATTGGGCGGGCTTGGCCTGCTGCTCAGGCGGCCTCGGGGGGGGCGGGGCGGGGGCGGGGCTGCCCGCGCCTCACGTGACGGCGGCGCGCCCCGCCCCGCAGTGCGGCTCGGCCGAGTACATGGCCCCCGAGGTGGTGGAGGCGTTCAGCGAGGAAGCCAGCATCTACGACAAGCGCTGCGACCTCTGGAGCCTGGGCGTCATCCTCTACATCCTGCTCAGCGGCTACCCGCCCTTCGTGGGCCACTGCGGCAGCGACTGCGGCTGGGACCGCGGCGAGGCCTGCCCTGCCTGCCAGGTGCGCCCCCAGGGCCTGGCTCCTGACACCCGGCGTTCCCGAGCTTCCAGAGGCCCTCTGGGTGCCCCCAGCCCTGGGACAAAGCAATCGGGTCAGGGAGCCGGGGTCCAGGGCGAGTGGGGCTCGGGCCTGCGGGCCTGCGCCTGCTGGGGCTGCCCCTCTGTAAACTGGGCCCCGCTCTGGCAGTCACCTTTGCCCCCCACGCGGCCTCCCTCTGGACTCCATCCTCACCTTCCTGCCCCTGCCAGCTGGTACGGGCCCCAGGCCCTAGGCCTCACCGCTGGGTCCGGGGGCCCTTACGGAGCCGTCACTCGGTGCTGCCTGACCCCCTCTGGGTCTGGGCTTCCCGTCGGGACGTCAGGAACCTGGCCTGGCCGTGCCTGACCCCTCCCCACTGTGCCCCCCAGAACATGCTGTTCGAGAGCATCCAGGAGGGGAAGTACGAGTTCCCTGAGAAGGACTGGGCGCACATCTCCTTCGCCGCCAAAGACCTCATCTCCAAGCTCCTCGTCCGGGACGCCAAGCAGAGGCTGAGTGCCGCCCAGGTCCTGCAGCACCCCTGGGTGCAGGGGGTAGGTGCCGCCAGCAGGCCGGGCAGGAGCACGGCGGGGAGGGGCCTCCCACGGCTTTCCAGCCTCCTCCGATGGGCTGAGGGGCGACCCAGTGCGGGGCCCAGCCTCAAGACCCTCCCCAGTTGCTGTGTAGGTCTGGGGGCTAGGTCTCAGGGGTCCACTGGGAGCCCAAGCACAGGTGGTGACCAGGGGGCACAGGTTGGGAGTGGGGCTGCTGGTCAGTGAGCCACCCACCCTGTGCCCTGGAGGTGCTGGGGTCAGCCAGGTGGCCGGTGGGCGGGGAGCCTGGGACGGAGCCCGCGACCCAGGGTAGACCTGCCGCCTGCTGGCCCAGACCTGGGCTGGGTACCTGATCCCCGCGGCTGGTGTTTCTCCCTGGTTGCCGAGCCAGGCCGCCTCCCCGGGGTGGGGGGCTTAACCACCAGTTGGTACTGGGACCCCGTGGTGGGTTAAAGGTCAAAGCCCTCTCCCATGGCCAGCGGCGGATGAACTCCCCATCCCTTCTGCGAGCAGGAGGCCCGTGGGCTGAGAATGGGTTTGCGGTGAGTTTGGGCTGGCTGGAAACTGCGCAGCCCTTGTGAGCTGGCAGCCCGTCCCGCCACGTTCCCCCCAAGTCCTGGCTGAGCTCGCAGCACGCGCACCCCCCTTAGCTCTCCCTGGCCTGCTCTCCAGCGCCCCCTGCCTTGTCTCTGCAGTGCGCCCCGGAGAACACCCTGCCCACACCCATGGTCCTGCAGAGGTGAGGCCCCGGGACCTCCGGCCAAGAGCTGCGAGCCCCAGCCTGGGAGGGACATGAAGTATTTTTTTAAATTCTTAGAACTGGGGAGGAAGTGACCCAACACTTGGGTGGCCTTGGACCCAGTAGATAGGTCAGGCCCCCAGCTGGCACTCGGGTTTCTGGGGAGCACTGGGACCTGCAGACACGCCCAGGGCATCGCACAGACCCTGGGGTCCCGAGGGAAGCAGGGCCGTGCCCCGTGGCCGCCCTCCACCTCCGTAGTGACTGCCCCGCGCCACCCCCAGGAACAGCTGTGCCAAAGACCTCACGTCGTTCGCGGCCGAGGCCATCGCCATGAACCGGCAGCTGGCCCAGCGCGAGGAGGACGCGGCCGAGGCGGCGGGGCAGGGCCAGCCCGTGGTCGTCCGAGCTACCTCACGCTGCCTGCGGCTGTCCCCGCCCTCCCAGTCCCAGCTGGCACAGCGGCGGCAGCGAGCCAGCCTGTCGGCGGCCCCCGTGGTCCTGGTGGGGGACCACGCGTGACCCCGCTCCCCCGTGTACATAGGTTGCCCCCTTTCTCCATAAAATCTAAAGATTTTTTTAAGCTATTGTCAGCCAGTGACCAGCGGGCACCCACCCCCAGCTGGATTCCCGGGCGCTAAGCTCCACTGGGGGGTCTTTTTATATAAGGTTTTTGCTGTTGGGTTTTTCCCTTTTTTCCTGTACCCTCTCCCCCATTTTGTTTCCCTTTTAAAGGTGTTAAAAGCAATGCAGGCGCCGGGGAGGAGAGGAGGGCACGGGCGGCTGGGCTGGCCTTCCCCGCGCCCCACCCGTGCTTGCCTGTGCTGTGAAAGGGCCCCTGCAGCGCCCGCAGATGTGACTCAGGAGAGCGGGGCCGCCCGCCTCCGACCGGGGCACCAGGGCGCCCCGCACCCGCCCCTGCCCGCCTTCAGTGTTTTCAGGGATGGCCGCCCCAGACCTCCAGACCTCCCTCCACGAGATGGCAGCTGGTTGGTCCCGACCTCGGAGACGCCCTGGTGATCTGGTGGGGCAGGGGCTTCTCGGGTCATCCTGTCCTGGGTTTGGGTGCAGGCAGGTGGGGTGCCCACCGGGCCCTCCACCAGCTGACAATCGGGGCTCCCCTGAGCCTGAACCCGAAGCTGCAGCTGACCTGGGTGATCACACCCCTGCCATCTCCGCCAGGGACCCTGCCCCCCCGCAGGAGGGCGGTGCCAGAGGAAGTGGGAGGGGCTGGACAGGCACCCGTCAGCCAACGTGGGGTCCCACAGACCCCACCCCGGGCACCCAAGTGCCCTTTCTCAGGGCTTAGTCTGACCTTGGCCACGTCCTGACCCAGCCTCGCCTCTCGGGCCTGCATGGAAGCTGTGGGCTCCTGCCCCGCCCCAGAGCCAGGGCCGCTGGGTCCTGCCCAAACCCCACCTCAAGGGCAGCGTGTCTGCTCTGCCCACCTTCAGGAAAGCTGCCGCGGCCTCCCACAGGGCGCCCAGGAATTGCCGCACCCCTTCTGCCCCCTCCCAGCGCCCAGGTCAGATGTCCAGTGACCCGCCATGCCCGGGGAGACCCTGGCCCTCGGGTGGGGAACACTATGCAATACAGGCTTCCCTGGTCTGCGTTTCCCGTGCTTCTGCCGCGGCGCGCCCCGCCCGGCTGCCAGGCCCCCGACTTCCTCCCCGATGTTCGTCTTGTTAGCGTTTTTAAAACCGTCAGTTGACTTCCCTCCCTGCCCTCGAAGAATACTTGAATGTTGGGGGGGCCTCGTGCATTGGGGTCTCGGGCGCCGTCTCTGCGGCCTCCCCAAGTAGGATCGTTGCAGTCTGTGGGGTCCCCGCCACCTGGACCTGGGGACTGGCCTTTCCAAAGACCCCTGGGGTGGGGAGGCCGCCCCCACCCCACCACTTCTCACCCATCTGTGACTCCATGTTTTGCGACTGAGGATTCTGCCTTTTCGTAGAAACAGACAGACCCTCGCCCCACGCAGGCGCCGTGGCGTCTTGCTCCGGAAGGCTGAGCTGGGAGGGCTTTTGTCTTTTAGAAGACGGGAGGGCTGCCTTCTCCCTGCCACGGGAACAGCGGCCCGACGGACTGGTCGGAACCATTACTGTGAATGGGCGCCGGTCCAGGCTGCCGGCTCCGGGGGAGGGACGGCAGTGTTTCGATGTTAACATATAAAAGACAAAAAAAAAACTCAAGCTTTTTAAAAGTGGGGGAAAAACATCCAAGCACTTTACGTCCACTGTACCAGGTGGTCTGATACAGCCCAAGTCCTCCTTCACACCGGCTGGCAGTGCCGGGATTTTGTATTCTGTTTTGTAAGGATTTAATAAAAGTCATAAAAATTTGAGCGTGCCGGGTCCTGGGTTTCTGTTGCCGGGAACGAGCCGCCCCAGACCCAGTGGCCCCCCCAAACGCATTTCCTCAGCCCCTGTGATGCCGACTGAGGGATGTGCGCGGGGCGTGCTGGAGTCGCCTCATCTGCCCCAGGACGCGGGGGTCCTCAGTCGCCCAGGTGGGGCCTGGGCCGGCTTTGAGGCTGGCCCAGCAGGACCTGGCCTCCAACCGGCGGGGCCTGCCGCCCGCCACAGCCCACCGACCAGAGGTGCTGCTCGGAAGAGCAGATGTGCCACGGGAGCGAAGCAGGAAGTCCTGCCCCCCACCTCCCCGTCCCAGGTGTTCACGTGGCTGCCCCAGGTCGGAGGGGAGGTGGAGGTCGGGGTGGCCGGGAGCACCTGGTCGCAGCTCTCTTGGGCCAATGCAACCGAGCGAGCCCCAGGAATTCCAACCACCCCCACCCGGCGGGCCGTGCCCCCTCTCAAGCCCATCCTCTCAGCTGTGATGGAGTTATCACTGTCTGCAGGGCTCTGCAGGACACCCCAGAGCTGACCTCTGATCCTGGTGGGGAAGGAGTGGATCAGGGAGGGCTTCCTGGAGGCAGGAGTCCAAGGGGGGCAGTGAAACATGATGGTTACAGACATTAGCCTGGGCTGCGATCCCAGCTCCCTCCAGGCTGCTGTGCGCCGCAGTTTGCTCATCTGGTAAGTGGGGGGTCTGAAGCCAGGGGAGGTGACAGGCAGGTGGCCCAGTGCTTGAGTGGAGTTGCTGATGGGCGGGAACAAGAGCAGGGGGGACATCGCTTCTGCAGGGGTGAAGGGGAGCCTCAGGTAGCCACCCTGTGTCCAGCGTCCCTCGCCGAGCACCGTGTGTCCAGGGCCTGTCCACGTCCAGCAAATCTCGCTCCTTTCCATGGCTGTGTGACACTCCAGGTGTCACTGGACACGTGTGTGTCTCACCCATCAATGGGCCCAGGCTGTCCCCACTCTGGCTGACCCTCCGCGATCCTCTGTGTACGTTCTCGCGTGGATGTCGTTTCCATTGCTCTCGAGGGGACACCAGAAGCAACGCAAGCAGGGCACAGACCTGATCGGATGTCGTTGTGGGGAGTGCGGACACGGGGCCCCGGGGGCCCAGCAAGCCCCTGTCAGCCGGCCCGCTGGGCCGTGACGGGCCCGGGGCGGTGTCCGGGGGGCCACAGAAGACGGCCCAGCTGTGCAGGGAGCGGCCTGCCCCGTGCTGGGGACAGCCTGGGTGTGGGCCAGGGAGGAGGGGGTGCTCTCTGGGCCCCCAGGAAGTCCCGCCTGGCCGGGCACCGGGACCCCTGCAGCTAGGAGGCGGCAGGTCGCCCCTGTCTGATGCAGGAACCCGGGCTCTGCCTCTCCTTCCTGGCCCCCCAGAAGGGGAGCCTGGCGCCCTTGAACCTGGTCCGCAGCCTCCAGGCCCCACATGTGTTCGGCCATCCCCGAGAGCCCTTCTAGGAGGCGCCACGGCCAAGCCCCCACCAGCCCCCTCTAGGGCCACTGCCCTGCTCCCCCGGCTCCCTCCACCCCCGAAGTCCCCACCCAAAGCCTCTGGGCCCCTCCCCTGGCATTGGCGATTGGGGGGCTGCCACATACCAGGCCACCAGCCTCCCGGGTGGCATGGAGCCTTGCCCAGCCCTGCCAGGCCGTGCTGCTGACCACTCCCTGCCCTCTGCGGCCCGCCAAGGCCCGGTCAGCCAGGCACAGTGCGTTTCTTGGAGCCCCTCCTGCAGATCGGATGCTCACGTTCGTGGTTCCTGGTTTCCTCCAGGCTGAACCCGCTCCTTCTGTGTCTCTCTCCTCCGGGAATGGCAGGAAAATCCCGGCGCCGGAGAAACCAGGACCCTTTCCCAGGGCGGCGGCTGAGGCTCCCTGGGCGCAGCGTCTGCCCTGGGAGACAGAGACGCCCGCTCAGAGCCCCCAGCTGCCCTGCAGCCCCGCTCACCCACCCCAGGGGGGCAGCGCGTGCACAAACTGGACCTGTCACCCCAAGACCACGTCGAAATCACACTCATGATTTACAAGGGCGGCTCTCCCACCCCCAGACGGACAGAGGCACGTGTAGGTAGAGACGTTAATAATGGGGAGCTGGGGCAGGTGCTTGGGGGCTGTTATTTTGGCAGTTTTTCAGTCAACCTAAAACTGTTTTTTGAAAGATAAATTTCATTCAAAAATAAAGTGAGAGACACCAGACACCGAGGACCACACGGCATGAGATCCCATTGCTGTGAAACAGGCGGATCCATGGGCAGGACGTGGGCTCATGGGTGCCAAGGGCCGGGGGAGGGGGACCTGCTCGTGGGGATGGGGCCTCCCCTGGGATGATGAGTGTCCTGGGACTGGACAGAGCAACTGTTGTATAATGTGAATCCACTTGCCACCGATTTGTTCTGCGAACTTCACCTCGATTGTTGAACAGGTGGCCACAGCGAGTCTGTGCAGGGTCTGGCACACGGAAGCGCTCGGTAAATGCGTGGAGGGCCTGGGGAGGCCGGCGCAGGTGTCTCTTCCCCAGGGCTGAGGGGCTTGTGCGGTTTTCACTCCTGTCGCTGTCACCAGTCGCCATGCCAAGCCACCCTGTAAATTGCCCCGCCCCCCCTGGCCATTGTCCCATCTCTGGAGGACGCCCATGACCTGCCGGGCCTCAGCCACACCAGAAGGAGGAGAATCTTACCTAAGGCGAAGTGTGTCAACACGCCTTCGCATGTTGGCTGAAGCCTGGGTGATGGGGTGAGCCAAGGTGGGAGAGGGCGGTAGGGCTGCATGCTCGGGGCCAGCGGTACGTGGATGAGGCCGGGGGTCCACGGTCCCACCTTGCTCGCCTCTGGGCCCTGGTCACTGTGCGCTGTCAGCCCTGACCGCCGCCCTCGCTGGGCTGGGCTCAAACTCTGTCCTTTGGGCATTTCACTGCCATGTAGGATTCGGGGATGACGGACAACCCTGGGCAGATGCTGTCAGGTTTCCATCACGCCTGTCATCTTCCCTCACAGAGACTCAGTTTCCCTTTTGTGACCCCCTTGAGGTGGCAGAAAGTTCAGACACCAATAAGGGGGGGCCTGCCCAGCACTGCACCCTGGGCTCAGGGGCCAGGGGGTATGCAGTCTAGGTCCCAGGATACCTGTGCCCGAGGCCCTTGGGAGCATCTGGCATGAGGTCAGCAAATCCCCAGAACGGACTCACAAGCAGGCAGATGGGGGAGCGTCACGCTGCCACTGCGTATCTGCATGTCCGATGTGACTCCCACCCTGCAGTGCAGGGGCCACGTAAAGGCAGTGGGTCTGAGTCCTGGTCGCTCCTGACCCGACCGAGGTCATCGTCCCAGGACAGCCCTGCCCAGGTCTTGGACCTTCTCTGGCCATCATGCTGTCTCCTGGATGGCCCTGTCCCGGTGAGAAAGGCACCCACAACCTTCCATATCGGGGCCTGGTAGGAAACACCTGGTCACCAAGAGCACGATCCTGCGCTGGGAGTGTTCGCAGCAGAACCACGGAGCCACGCGTCCATACTCAGTTGCAGGAAGTAACATTGTGCCCCGTTTTCCCCATTGGCAACATTTCACAAACCTCTCTTACAATATGGCTACAATCTGGCTTACTGGGAAGTGGCTCCGTGGACTTGGCCGCCCTCCCCCCGCCCTGCGCCCTATGGGAATTCTCTTCTTGCTTGGAAGCAGTGCATCATACAGGACCAGGGGACCCAGTGCCTTCCAAAAGAAATTTCTAGAATGATAGACATGTTCTCCATCTGTGGGCACATGTATCTCCTGGGTGGAGTGTGGCTGGCGGGGCTGAGGAACCAGAATCTTTATTCAGTTCATTTGAATGGATTTGGAGGTCTTGTGCGGCGAGGCTGGCGGGACGGAGTGCAGGTGTCTGTCGTCCTGGGTTTTACCTCCAGCCTTTGGCTGGTCCCGGTTTTAGTGCCTGCGGTCCGTTCGCCTTGAACCCAGGGTGCACAGCCAGGCTCAATAAACACTCGTCGTGACAGGAGAGACGGAGTGAGCCAGGGCTCTGGACAGGCGGCCCCTCCTCTAAGCCCGACTGTGGCCCTTCTGCGTGAAACTGGGCCTGCCCCTCACTCCGCCCGTCTGTGAAGTGGGGGAGAGGGCTCCCCTGTCTTCTGCACCGTCACCCTCTCTGGTGCAGTTCCTCGGGTGTCACACCGCATGGCGACCACCTGGGGAATACCCTCCAGGGCAGTGGATGGCACCTGCGTGGGGTTCCCTGAGGCCCCCCGCCCCAGAGTAAGGAATGGAGGCAGGGGATGAGGGCCCCTAACCCCTGCACCTGGGCTTGGGGGCTTCTCCAGGCGCCCCAAGCAGAGGGGAGGAGGCAGTTTTCAAATGGGGAAACCAAGGCACAGAGATTTCAAGTCGTTTGGTCCCAGGCAAACAGCCAGTGTGTCTACGGCGAGAGCCGGGCTCTCTGCCTGTCTCTGTCTCTCTCTTCACGATCCCTCCCTCCCTCTTGCCCTCTCTCCTGCCTTCCTTTCTATAATAAAAGAAGCAATATGTATTTGCAATATAACCAGAATTATTTTATTTCCCAGAATAAAAATATATAAATACATTTGTGCTGTGGGTTTTTTTTTCACTTACCTTTTTTAAAGTTTTTCTTAAATTTTGGTATCATTCATGTACAATTACATGAGCAAGTGCTGTGGGTTTTTATAAATACGTGAATCAGACGTGCCAGTTCATCTGTGGTGTCTGCGCTTGGGAATGGCCGCGGTTCTCCTCACAGTCAGGGGGCTGGGGGCGGGGAGTTCCATGCCCAGGGGCTAAGCGGCTCCCGTCCAGCCCGCGTGGGCTGGGATGTCACAGGGAGGGTGGCCTCTCAGGCTGGTTTCGCCCGGTCTCCTTTGCTTGTGTGCAGGTTGGGCCGCTGGGCCCTTCGTTGGCTGGCCGGGTGCTGGGAGCCGGGAAGCTGGATTTCTCTGTGCGGATGGGAAGAGCTTGGGAATCCAGGGCCATCTGGGAGGGGAAGGGGGG